GGGGAGGTGTCTTTTCCACTCACCTCACGGTGGTGGCACCAACAGCCCCGCCCAGCCAGCCCACTTCTTCTGCGGCTGAAGGAGCAGCTTCATTCTGCAGCTGAGAATGGACCTCGGGCCTGCATTTCGCAGTCACGGGCCTTTCCGGAAGGCCTCTGCAACTAAAAACTTTGCTATGGTCCATAGCTCAGTTCTCGGCTGCACAGGCCTTCCGGAAAGGCCTCTGACTGTGAAATGCAGGCCCTAGCTCCAACTTCAGCTGCAGAATGAAGCTGCTCCTTCGGCCGCAGAGGAAGTGGGCCAGCAAGGCAAGTGTCCATCCATGGGAGGCCTGGCTGCAATGGTAAGCTCCAAACCCCCCCCCACCTCCCCCAGCTTGTTTTTTAGGCATGCGCCTTGCCTCAAAACTAGGGCTTATTCTCAGGATAGAGCTTATATTAGCCCCCCCCAAAAAAAGCTAGGGCTTATTGTTGATGTAGGCTTTACTTTCAGGGAAACATGGTAGACTTGAAAGGAGAACCTTGTATGCAAAGCAAAACAAATTGCCAGCCTGCAACAATTTCTTTATTTTCTATTATTTCCCCTGGTTCTAAATGGCCTTCATGAGCTTCTTAAAGAATTAAAATAATGACTGCCTACCTCAGTGTTTTGGGGGTCCACCTGCTCAAACAACGACAAAGTAATAATAATGGGAAGCTTCTGCTGGAATGCTGGAATGCGAGACAGGCAGCATTTGGCAAACAGCTGCTGTGCGGCTAGCCATCAAAGTGCTGCATGTCAACAATTCGTGAATGGACAAGTCCCATCAGCAGACTTTGGGGGAAATACAACATCTTTCAAAATTCCAAATGTGCCCACCACCCCAGTAAATTGGAGATCCCTTTGATATTTGGCATGGTATGTTACCTACTGTACATTTTAAACACAACTTTAATAATTTAATTACACTACACCTGCATATAAAATAACAGGATTAAAACTTCATCTCATATTTAACATCTCTCCAATTTTTTCATGTTTCTCTGTGGACCATAGTTTCCGTTCTGTGTGCATTCCAACACTGAAGAGTTTTTGGAATTCTTCTATGACACCTCTCTTCTACTTAACAATGGAATGGGAAAATTTGCCACATCAACTCACTGCTGCCAACTCGCGATAATCAACTTGCCATGGCCAACTCGCCATGGGACAATTTAATAATTCATTTTAATTATTTTAATTGTTGGCATTCACATTTCATTTTGTTCCTACTTTTTTATCCTTTCATTAACAATTTTATTCCACCATTTCTTTGATATTAATATAACTCTTGTCCCGTGGTGAGTTGGCCACGGCAAGTTGGCTGTGGCAAGTTGACCATGGTGAATTGTCATAGACCCTCTTAAGAAGTTTGCATCAGGGCAATTTTTCCGTGTGTTGCCTTGTCATCTTTGTTATCAACGGTATCAGATTGTGTTCGATTACAATAATCTATGCAATCTATTTGTAAGATATGTTATATATGTATTTGGTGGCTTAGTCACTCTAGTTAACATTGCCTAACAACTTAGTGTAAACTGGGATTACAATATCTGAGCTGCATATGTTCACATGAACATTAGATGGCAGTGAAGTGAAGTTACTGGAGGTTTTTTTTTTTGCAGGGGGAATGGTGCCCTCTAGAGTTTTGGATAATATTGTTTATTCTTGGAAAGAAAGATAATGGAAATAAATATTGATAAATATTGACAGAGATATCATGTTAGGAGTGGCATGATGGCCTAGATGTGGAGCTCTTGCCTCACAGTCAGGAGGCTGAGTGTGACCCTAGGTAGCGGCAGTTATCTCTCTCTCTGGGCTCAATGAGTAACTGCTGCGAACTTCACATAGGCACAGGAAGGGCATCTGGCCAGTGAACCAATAATAAAAGTAACAATGAAACAATTAATACAGTATTGAATTGTCCCGTGGCAAGTTGTCCCGTGATGAGTTGTCCGTGGCGAGTAGTCCAGCGGGGAGTTAACTGTGGCAAGTTGGCAATGGCAAGTTAGCCAAGGCAGGTTATCCTAGACCCCAAAGACAAGGCCTCAAAAATCTCATATAGTAGAGCCAAGAATGGTTTTTTTCTCAGTTCAATCCATGCAGTGAAACCTATAGAAATTGATTCCTAAATTTCTACGTTCTCCAACCTTATACATTTGGACTATAGCACCAAAAATTCTGAAGTTCTATTTCCAACCTGGAATGCATGATTGAGCCAAGAAAATATGTAGCTAGAATGGGGCAAAGATTAGCAATAGTGTTTAGTAATACTGTTTTATTTCTATGTTTTTATTGTTATAAGCTGCCCAGAGATGTTGTTTATATCACAGGCAGCCTTATAACACAAATAATAAAATAAAAATAAAATATAAAATAATAAAAGGCAGAAAGCCAGTTTGGTCTAGTGCAGTGGTTCTCAACCTTTTTAATGCCGCGACCCCAACCGGTCGTAAGTCGAGGACTAAACCGGTCGTAAGTAGAGGACTAAACTGGTCATAAGTCGAGGACTAACCGGTCGTAAGTCGAGGACTACCCAACCAGTCGTAAGTCGAGGACTTTCCCTGCCTGGGAGCGCCACGCATGCGTGGTTCCGCTCCCTGCGCCGGCCGAGGCGTAGCTGGCAAGCGGCAGAGACGGAGCAGGCCGACCACCAGCTGGCCCAGCTCAAGGGAGGTAAGGCACCCGCCGGAAAAGGGGAAAAAATGGCGGACAGCCTTGCTGGGCGACCCCCGTGAAATGGTCGATCGACCCCAAATGGGGTCGCGACTCATAGGTTGAGAACCGCTGGTCTAGTGCTTAAGGCATCAGACTAGAAACCAGGAGACTGAGTTCTAGTTCCACCTGAAAGCTGGCTGGGTGACTTTGGGCCAGTCACTCTCTCTTAGTCCTTGATGTTAGGCTGAAAAAAAAGCAGGCCTTGCAGTTGTAGGTAAATACTAGGAAGAAAGAAGGAAGAAGTAAAGAGAAGGAAGGAAGGACAAGATTTGAATGTATAAACAAAGCAATACTTCTATCCTTTTAGACTTTTTTCTTTGCCAGTCTTAGAAAAGCTCTCTCTCTCTCTTTTAATTGACATGCACCACCATATTTTAAAGCTGTGAAACTAAACTCAAACAGGTTTTTAACATTTTTATGATATACTGATTTCATGGAGGATAAAAAAGGTATTGTTCTAATATACATATATAATAAAGCATTTCAATATAATGAAATCATGAGAAAATGCAAGGCAATGTTTTTCTCACATTACATGTTTGCTATTCATCATTGCTTGCAAATAAAAACAATCTTGGTTTTCATGTATCCTGGAATAGAATTTTTTTTCATCCTTGCCACATTTCCTTCACACTTAATTATTTCAGTTTGCCTGTTCTCTCCTAGCATTTTTGTTGAGGTGATTGAAACCGATCGATGTGAGAAAGTTTAGTCAAATGGCTTCCCTTAGAAAACAGCACACTCAGTATTCCATTTCCAATTGGCAACTATATGTGGTTTAGATTTTGATTAAAATTTTAAGAATTGCATAGTAACTGATAAGAGGCAGTGCAAGTCTCTAATAAATCATTTACTGCCAAGGAACTCCACAATAGCAAATGTATTGATGTCACTATGTTTTCTTAAAGCATAAAAATATAAGAAATAGACAAACAAGCCCAAAGGATGCCAATTCTACATGTTAGCATATTTTAGCTGTCCAGACAAAGTTAGCAGCTGCTATCAAGTTGTATTCCTTTAGAACTGACAAACAGTTGCCTCTAATGCTTCAGCTAGTATGCAAGACTTTCAGCAAAAATCCACAGTTCTGCTGAAAAACACAAATGTATGGGTGTCATTGTACAGGTATAACTTGCTTAACAACTGCTTTGTTTAGTGACCAAAATTACAACAATGCTGAAAAAGTAACTTTACAGCTAAATTGCAGTATTTTCCTAACCATATAATAGAAATGCAACTGGTGCATACACTTACAATCATCATCGGACTGTCCTGCTGTCATGTGATCACCATCTGTGCACTTCACAACCAGCTTCCAACAAGCAAAGTCAATGGAAAAGCCAGCAGTAAAATGTCAAGTCACAGTCACATGTCTCGCTTAGTGACATGTCACTTAGCAATGGACCTGCTGATCCCAATTGTAGTCTCTAAGCGAAGTTTACGTGTATGCCATTATATGTATGTGTGTTTACATATACAACCTGCATCGGGTTGTCCAACCATGCAAAATAAATTATTAATTTTACTCTTGATTTTTATTCTATAAGTTACTTTAAAAGAAAAACAAAAACTAAAGCCAATAATGAAAAATCCCCTAATAACAACAGGCAGAGATAGCAGGCAACATATTTATCTCATCTTTACAGTGAAAGTCTTTCTAAAAAAGAGGTCTTGAGAAGTTGCCTTCTTTTGGAAGTTCTACACCGAGGTGGACTTTTTCTTTGTTCCATCACATGAGCCTTTGCCATTGTTGGGACATAGAGAAAATTCTCTTATCAGATTTGAAATTTAAGATGGACAGAATGGAAGAAATTGACCCTAGGTCCTTTAAGATCTCTGAGACTTTGAAGGTCAAACATTAACACTGTGTAAAATTAATTGTAACAGTGTAGACTGCCAGGTTTATAATTTTGCAAGTTTTCAAATAATTTCCCGATTCTAAGTTGCAAAAAAGAAAGCATACTCTCATTGCTACATTTAACACTTTTACATTTTTATTTAATTAAATCAGCCATTGTACACATTGCAGCTATGTATTGTTAGTGCTGTTGTTTGTTTTACATCTTTAATACATGCCCTCATAGATATATTCAGTTAAGTGTTATCACCATGGGAACAAGATGCCGATTTATCAACTTAAAATCACCTTCTCACAGTATTCAAGTTCTCTGATAACACAGCAAAAATTCAAAACTGAAAAAAGGAGAATAGCCATTATGCTGTTACACAGAACATCATCTGCACCGCAAATAACACAACAGAAATGCATTTCGTGTAGAGCCCCAGTCTTGAAGGTTAAACAGTGATGTTCTTAACAATGAGAAATGAGCTATTGTGTGTCCTGCAATAAGGTCTCCTTTCATTTTGGCAGTCATTAAGTGCTTGTGTCCTGCTTTGCCAACAAAACAAATTTGTATGGCACTGAGTAGGTTTTTTTTTTTAAACCAGGAAACCAAAACCTCCTTAAATGTTTCTTTTCTCTTGGCATTGTTGCTTAATGAGGAGGTGCCATTTGTAACATTTATTTTCAATATTCTGAGCACTGAGTGGGGTTGTTTTGTTTAAAGAAACAAAGGCTAGCAGGGTTTTGAAAAATATTCAGCCCTAGAGGTCCTGACTCATCATTGCTGAATATGCTTTGTGTTTATCAAATAACTGACTCAAAATGTATATCATTTCATATAATATATATATATATATATATTATATGTATATATATATCTAATTACATATATATGTTAAAATGCTACAGAGCTTCAGACCACTATTAGAATTAGGTACAGACCACAAAATAATTCCAGGGTCATATATGCCTTCTTGGAAAATCAAAGTGCAGACATTTACATGAATAATGCTTGAAAAGTGGTTAAGGACTATAAATAAAATAGCAAGAAAAAAAACTAAACAAATGCTTGGTGGATTCCTGTCTCCTTATAACTAAAACTCCAGAGAAAAACCTCAAACACGATGGTAATGTCTGTTTGCTCAGTGCTAGGAAGGATGAGAAGCAATTGGCATGATTATAGAAAGGTCATGTTTTTATACTTCAATGCCACATGCATGTTCCAGATTAAGAGACAATCTTGACAGAATGTGATAAATCAATTTTTCTGAAAAGTAAAGGTTTCTTTTCCTCCTTCAAAATGTCTATAGTGTAGTGGACAGCATAAACAACCACTTCTAAGACAGTGTGGTTTGTTAAATGAGTGATCAAAACAGTATAGAAATCAGAATTATTGAATGCACCCATTTCATGTCCCTGATCTAAAAGGTTTAAATACAGTATGCAAAAGTGCCACAGATACAGGTGCTAGCACGTTATATCTAACTGGGTATATTTTTCTTCAGGAAATCTTGAAGTGGCTTTCCCAGGAAGCAAAGAAGCAGTAATGGCTGCAATCAACTGTCTTGTAAGGGAAACAGCTGAAATTTGAGGCTTTGTTCTGACCCTTTGTAGTCAAGTAATTTATTACACTGGAAGTGCTATGAACACAGGAGGATTGATTTGCTTCGATCTTTATAGAGCCATGTCCTAAGCTGTAATGGATTGTGTTAGGAATATTACATGAATTATTCTTCAACGAACCTTATAGTCCTGATGCTAAAAGTATTTGCAATAGGCAGTGCTTCTTTCTTTCCGTCTTGTGAATCCACATATTTTCTCTATTTACAGTTTAAAGTTAATAATCTTAAAAAAACACATGTACACTGTCATTTCAAGAGGCCTGTGGAAGAAACTTATGTGTCTATGGATCTGGTGCAAAAACAAAGAACAATAAAAATGCCAAGGTTGACAGACAGTCAGGAGAGCACAAAGTCTATGACTTAGTAGATAAAACCATCCAGAATGAAGGATGTGATCTTTGGTCACAAATTAGTTTACAGATATTTAGAAACAAAGAAAATGAAATGGAAAACCTGCCCTATATGCTCAAAGTAGAAACAGCAGTGTTCCCTGATGATTATGTTAAATAATAATACCTATGATAAAAGAAAGTTGGATAAAGCTGGACAGTTAATGGATATGCGTGGTGGTCTATGGGTGAGATTTAGCAGCATCTCATTTGGCCTCTTTCTTCTGCTCATCTTTGCAGAAATGCCTTAATAATTGCTGAAGGTCATGCTGAAGGTCATCCTGGGGTAATGCTTCTGGTGTGTCCTCCAGCAGCTCCACATGAATCCGGTTTCCATATTGATCCTTAACCACAGTCCTCTTCTGTGTACTAGCTTTACTCATTGTTGTCCTATAAGAAGTCAAAGGGGCAATGAGTGAAGTTGTAGGATTTTTTAAAGAAATTGCATTCTATTTTTCATTTAAAAATTTTAGCATGAATTTTGAGTTCCTCTAGGTGAACAGACCTAAAGAGCAAAGAAAGGTGCTAAATATTTATATATAAAGTACCAATACCATTATTTTTTAAAAAAGTAATTTCCTTTCTTATGCTACACTTACACAATACAAGCCTAGATTTACAATCAGATTTAAACTGGTAGATTTGTTAAAATGTCAGCAACTTGTAACTTCTTGAGAAATTTCTTGTGGCATAAACTTGCGCAGGCAGGGAGAAATGATTGCCTAAAGCAGAGATGTCAAACACGTGAGCTGGATGTGACCCACAAAGGGGCCAGGTTTGGCCCCCAGGGCTGTTCCAGAAATGGTAAGGGACCGGCCACCACTGCCCCAGCCCTGGCCCACCCCAACCCGGCTGGGCACCCTCCCAGCGCGCACACAGGAAACGGTGAGCGCTCGGGGGCTGGTGGTGCACAGCAGCAGCTGCAGCTCATTTGCCTCACCCCACCCTACCCCTCCCGGCCTCACTCCGTCACGCCTGGCCATGCCCCGCTTTGCTGGACCTCTCCTCGTCCGGCTCTGCTTTGCAGGGCCACACCTGACCACACCTGCCCCATTTTGCAGGGTCTCGCCTCTCCTCACTCACGCCATGGAGAGGAGGAGGAACCCGAGGTATTACAAAAAATGGGAGCTTCCCCCTTTCTCCCCCCTTACCTTTTTTTTAACCTCCTCCCACTCCATTCAGGTGCAGATGGAGGAAAAGAGCAAGAAGGGGGAGAAAGCAGGGAGAGTTTTTGTGTGTGAGTGTGAGAGCGAAAGAGCGAGAGATTGAGCCAGCAGGGAAGCGAAAGTGTGGGGAATGGGGAGAGTTGCAAACAGAGTAAGCAAACTTACAAAAAGGGGACCTCTCTCTCTCTCACAGAGAGAGAGAGAGGGGGGGGGAGAAACCCTTCCTGCTTTCTCCTCCTTCTCGCCCTTTTTCTCCAACCGCCACAGAGGCTCACACATTGCCGGCTGCCGGCAGTTCCAGGCTGTGGCTCTGCATCCAGCGCGTCACATTCCCCTCTCCGGCCCTACCATGTGGCAGAGAGGGCGACTGAGAGATGGCCAATGCTTGGCTTGTGCCACCGTGTGCTCCCAGCCGTGTGCTCCCAGCCTTTCATCCCACAGGCCAGGCAGCCAGCGGGCTGGGCCCCCTCTTTTGGTAACCCTCCAGGGTGATCCTGCAGATCTAAAACTGACCACGTTCTGGATGGCCGACATGAAGTTTAGATCAGTGCCCCCCCATCAGCGCCTCCATGGCCTGCTTACCTGCCCGGACTTGCAGCCTGTGAGGGCTTCTCTTTCTCCGCCCCTGTGGGGTAAAGCCATGGCCAATGGCAGCAAAGAGAAGCAAGATGACAAGACTAGATGCCAGGCAGTTTGCAGAAGGGCAGAGGGAAGGTGAGGCCCTTTGGTGGGTCAGGTTAGTTGTGTTGCGATTCTCAGAAAAGTGAGAGGCCCGAAAGAAATATATGGCATTAACTTCAAAGGACCTCTGGGGATATGGCTTGGAGCCACGTACTATGTCAGGAAGGTGCTGTGTAGGCAGGCGAGAGAGCAAACTCGCAAATTGGCTTTGTGTTCTATTCTTGCCACCTCCCCTCCCTAAAATCCAGCCCATCATCCTGTGGCTATGCTGGCTAGAAATGCAATGCCTTATTTTCTCTGCAGCATGTGCCTAGGAGGCAGTAGGTCTGTGGGATTTAGATGTATTTAAACATTTGTTTCTTCTGCCTAATTTATTAAGTCAATGTCTAATTCAAAATTAAATGTTTCAGAGAAATCCAGGGTGGTTTACAAGAAAACTCTCAAAGATAGCTATTGTAAAGCATCACCAGCACTGCTTAAAACAATATTAAAAGCATGTATTTTAAGAAAGAAAAATATTAGTAGTAATTTACTTAGTGCTGTTTGACCATAAAATGTGTAGTTCAACATATGCCTGGCTGAACAGTGTGTTTGGAGTTGCCTCCAAACACACTGTTGGGATGCACTGTTCATATTTTCCTTGGGAGAAAGTTCTATAATTGGGGTGCTGTTTCTGAGAAGGCTCTGCTCATGGCCACTGCTCTATAAACCAAACCGGGGGACCATCTGGTCTAAATGGATGGTAAACAAAGATGATTAGGGGCTGGAGACTAAAACATATGACAAATGTTTGTGGGAATTGGATATGTCTAGCTTAGTGAAAAGGACTAGGGCTGGTGACATGATAGCAATGTTCCAATATTTGAAGGGCTGCCACAGAGAAGAAGGGGTCAACCTATTTTCTAAAGCATCAGGAGGCGATAATAGATGGAAACTAATCAAGAAGAAAACCAGGCTAGAACTAAGGACTTATGAAAACAACTAACCAGTGAAAAGGCTTGCCTTCAGAAGTTGTGGATGCTCCATTACTGGAGGCTTTTAAGAAAAGATTGGATATTCCATTGTCTGGAATGGTATAGGTCCCCTGCTTGAGCAGGGGGTTGGACCAGAAGACCTCAAAGGTTTCTTCCAACTCTGTTATTCTTTGAGAGAAGCACTGCCAACCTCTCCCCCTCCCCTTCCTGGGCACAGAGAGAGGGAGGGAGGGAGGGAAGGAAGGAGGGGAGGGAAACAGGAAGAAAGAAAGGGAAGGAAGGAAGGAGATGGGAATGAAAAGGAGGGAGGCAAGGAAGGAGGGGAGGGAGGGAGGGAGGAAGGACAAGATTTGAATGTATAACCAAAGCAATACTTCTATCCTTTTAGACTTTTTTCTTTGCTAGTCTTAGAATAGCTCTCTCTCTCTCTTTTAATTGACATGCATCAGCATATTTTAAAGCTGTGAAACTAAATTCATACAGGTTTTTAATGTTTTTATGATATACTGATTCCATGGAGGATAAAAAAGGTATTGTTCTAACATACATATATAATAAAGCAAAGAAAGGAGATTGGAATGAGAGGGAGGGAGGTTCTGAAGGCAGTCCTGCCTTAGTATTTGGCCACCAGCAGCCCTGTTGCCCTTTCACCATCCCCTGGTGGTCTCCCATCCTATTGCTGAGGATGCTTTGGTTACAAAGCCAGCTCTCCTCACATGGAGAAGGAGTGGGGACCCCTCTGACCCACGCAAATTGCCCTCCTGCACCCACCATGAGCAACCTGGCCAAGGAGAGCGAGCACAGCAGCAGCAGCCTCGAAGAGGAGGTAAGCGCAGCTAGGCGCCCCCTCGGGGAAGTGTGGCTGGACTATGCAGGGCTGTAGGGTCCCGGTGCCATGGGAGCTTAAGGACCGGGTTGGGTGCTTGACCTCCACAGCCCAGGGCTCTGGGCAGTCTGTGCCAATGTCCAGGGGGCCCCCTGCATGGCCTGAGAGGGACGATGAGGCTTCTCCAGTGGACTGTGCCCCAGCACTCGCTCCAGTCCCACCCACCCCTCTGTCGGAGACCCTCAGATCCGCCCCACTCCTGCCCAGGCCCGCAAGTGACATTGAGCTGACCATGTCCACCCAATAGGCCATGGCCATCCCAGCCATGCCTACCCAGTAGGCTGCACCCACCCCAGCCGCACCCACCCGGCCCCCCGAGGACAACCACAATGCTGAAGCGGCCCTCAATGAAATTGAGTTTGACACCCCTGGCCTAAAGGAACTGTAGGTGTAGACAGTAGCCTGCTTCTGACTAAGATCAAAAGTTGAGTTAGTGCATAGTCACAATGCTATGTAGAGTTAGAATTGGATTATTTAAGCTGTCCTTTAGTATGGTTTGAACTTTTATGTAAACATTTTATCAATCAGAAACTTTCAGTTATAAACATGTCTTAAGTTCTTTTCCTTCCCGATACTGGGAAAATAATTTTGAGAGACGCTATTGCTTTGTAACATCAGTGCCTACATTCATATGTTCTAATCCAGTAACACTGACCTTTGTATGATAGTCCTGCAACAAGGAATCATTAACAAGATAAATGACAGGAGAACCATATCCCTCACTACAAACCTGCTCGTTTTTATCATTCCTCCCATACTTTAACGAATCTCATTGATAGGAAGATGGAATACAAGTCAATAAATAAATAAATTTGTCATTCGGTATTATACAATGTGACAAATGAAGGGACATAAGCTCTACTGTATACATATTTTTACTACTACTTCTCTTCAAGTAAGAGGTTTCTGCAGTGATGGGAATATACAGAATTACATCACAGAAATAATTTATTCAGTAGAAAGGACAGCTTTTTCCTTTGGATTATATTCCTTGAAAACTTCAGCCCAGGCGATGGAGGTACCTCTGCTGACGTTTTAGTTCTTGGAGAGGAATATCAGGTTCATAGTAAGCATCAAGAAACAAATGAACTAGGCTGTTTAACTATTTCATAATCCCCCCAAAAAAATTCCATTCTATTGTTATTAAATTACTAAAACCTTTTTATTGTTCCTTCTATTTCTGATATTCAACCCATGAATACTACTAGTTATATTGCTAAAATGGTGTCATCCACACACAAGAGGGAAGATCCATGGCTTAGAAAATGTGTGTGCTATTATATGCACAGACACTCACACCTGTGTAAGCTTATCAACCTTTGTAGAAAGAGGAAATTAGAAGTAATACACTAGATTTCTAATCAACAGCATTCCACGCTGCAACAAAAAAATCCTTATCTTGCCCTCTTCTTCCTAAATCAGTAAAAGAAATAATAATAAATACTGTATCCTTCCCCAGAAATTTGGGCTGTATTCCCATCCCAACACATCTGCCTAATACAAAATATGGGGAGGATATGATCTCATTGTCTATTTGGGGAGAATAGACATGTTCTAACTTCAAAGGTGGAAATGCAGCATCAGATTTTTCTTTGAGAACTGATTTTGATAATTCTGACATCAGAGAAGGAATGTGATAGTGAGAAACTGGAACTTTTGCCAATTATTGGACTGACTTCACATGCTTTACAAATTATTGGCGGAAAAATAAACAAACAGTTCAATCAAGAAAGGAACAGAAAGAATAATAGGTTTCTTCCCTCATTTTGACTGTGTTTGTTTCTGGCAGAGTTTTAAAATTGATAGCGTATAATTTTTAATATTTTAATTATATAACGCTCCCAGCGTCATTTGGAAGCTGAGGAGCCATAAATTAATCAAATAAAACATAATAACAGGATTGTCCTATCCAAGAGTTTGGTGTAGAAAGAAGTACATTTGTCTGACTGTGTCTGAAGCACTTGAACTGTTCTCAAAGATCTAAGAGGGAATTTAAATATTGAAGAAAATGGGTATGTATTACATGCATAAAAGATAATTAAGATCATCTTCAAATATTATAGTCCTCTTCATGTTGCCAGAGCAAAAGTATTTTGTTTCAACAAAATTTAGATTGATAGATCCCCGTTACAAAAAATGAAATTATTTGCAGCTACTCCCTAGTGCTAGCATCACTGCCTCAGCTCTACCTCAGACCATCAGGCATTAAATTCTCATAGGGGCACAAACCTGTAACCTGTATGTTAGGAATCTATGTTGCGTGCTCCTTCTCCCCACACCCCCATCCATGGAAAAAATATCTTCCATGAATGCGGTGCCTGGTGCCAAAAAGATTGGGGGACCATTGCAATATGGGGTATATTCTGCCTACATAGTTGTGGATATGAATATAGCATAGCAATGGCAATGAAATTATAGGTAATTAGCTTCAGTGACATGGACATTGACTGTGGGCTTTAGTTTAGCTCCTCTCCTCTAAAACCTGGGTCTTATGGTATGTAGACCTAAACCCAAAACATTTCAATTAATTAATTGTCCAGATCTTTTCCTGTCCTCATGACACTCTGACTTCCTCAAGGCATATTTAAAATATGTCATGCAAAATTTTTCTACAATGCTAGCATTTAGAACTTAGAATTATAATTTAGCTATTTCCCAAATAACTGTTTGTTCCATCAATTGATTCTCCCCTCTTCCACCAAGTGTGTTAGTTTCCAAGTAAAGCTTAAGACACTGAGACTGTAAGTTGACATTATTTTAATCAAGTACTATTATAGTTAGTCTGTTAAATCTTTGGTCATTGCACAGGCTAGTATCATGCCAACTCAAACCTTTTAATAAGCGACCCATCCTCTTTCATGACCTCTTTCTCTACTAATGGGGGGACTTCAATTTTCATTTTGTTACCTATGTAATTCAGGGCCTAAAGTAAAACAGGAAGCATAACTGTAGCATAAAAGACCCAAATAACAACTTAATTTTATTAACCTGCTAAAATATCAGAACAACCAATGAGACAAATAATAGTTAAACATATAAGAAAAAAGTATTAATTGCATAATTTGCAAATTCTATACTCACTAAGAATTTAGAAATGTGTGACAAAACAATAGAATCTACTTTTACTGAGAATTCTTATGCTGAACTCCTGACGGAGACAAATGACCTCTTGTGAAGAACAAGGTCTTTTCTTCTTGAAAGAACCCAGAGAGAGTAGAAAGAGCCCCAGTCTTACTAACAGATGGGATTTTGTTCATTATTGTTCATCACAATAAAAGTGATTTGATCCAGGATTATCCTTGGAATCACATATAGATTACAAATAGGAAAGCCATACATATTTCTTATACCGAGTAGCCTGCTCTTTGGATTTATAAATAAAATAACCTCACTTGCAAATTGAGTTATATTGTTAAGTGTACATTCATACTGGAGATTTCTTTCCTAAAGTCCTCAACTATAATGCTTTCCACTGTGGTCTTGCATACTATGTTTAAATGTATCCAATCTAAGAATGGAGCTTCTTATTCAAACTGGAAATATAGTTAAAAAGAGGATGTGCTGACATCGCTCCCATTTGAACAGAAATTATCTATATTCTATTTATTCAACCAATGCTGAGTTGTATTTTTAATCAAATAGGATTTTACAATCCTGCCCCAAATGCATCTGGAAAAAAGTTCATATTTACTAATCTATGATAAGCTTTTAAGATCTACTGTACAATTAGTTCCAAATTGAGGCAATTTCATTCTCCTTTTGTCTGGAAAAATGTGGCAATTGTGAAAGGTTCCAACTAGATTCACTGTATAACAATGAATTTCTCTATACAAATTGACCCCAATTGACTTGTCAAGAGTGGGGTGACATGGCCTGTCTTACTGAAGCACTTTTAATTGTTTCAATTGCTTTTTCTAGCAGATTCAGTAGGTAGAAAATAGTCCTATTCCTGTGCCTCTTCCCGTATCACTTCCTTTTAATGTGAAACTGGAAGTAAACTATTGAACTAACAAGAAGCAGCAAAAAGGCTCCTGTGCATGCATAAAATATATGCAACCTCAATTTAGAAGTTGCTTCAAGGTGCTGCATATCCTGGAAGACACTATCCAAGTGACAGTGAGTGAAGGATGTGACAGTTTTGCTTTATAGTCTAGAGGTGGGATGGCAGCACTCCTTTTCAAAGCAGCTTCAAATGAATGCTTTCCTTAAAGCATTATCAAAGCAGAGAAATATTGAGTTTCTCTAAACATACTGAAAAAATAAGAATTCCACATTTGCTTCACTACAATTAGCTATTTCTAATTTTTCTATATGTGTTTCTGCCCTTAGTACTATTGCAGTTCTAACAGTGTTGCCAAAACCGTACAATTATCTCACCTCTTCGAAGTCATCTTTGGCTGATGGAAGATTCACTGCTAAACTAGAATCTCCATGATGTTTTTCCATTCTCTCCCCATGCACTAAGGTAGTTTTTATAACTTTGCTGACCTTGCGGCCTTTTACTGGTTCAGCCTGGAATTCTGAGGCACTTGGTAATACACTTGGCTCAGAAAAGGTCACCTGTGAAAGAGATTTCATGAATAATGAAATATTATGGAGATAATCATGGTTATTGGCTGATTAGATAATGCCCAAAATATTATTTTGCTACTTTCCTGTGGAAAGTTTTGCGATAATGTTACTGATTCATTCATTTCTTGAAAAATGATGTAGTTGGGGGCTACTAGACGTGTTAAAAAATTGCTCTACAATTCTTAATTGAATAAACAATCTTCCAAGGGTGTTTAAAGAAGACATGTGAACTGAACCTTATGAAACAAAGTTTACAATTAAATGTAATGAGCAGAGTAATTTATAATGGGTAATGCTAGTGCTAATTTCAAAAATTTACTTCTCAACAAATAAACCTTGGCAGAAAACAAAATAATCTAACCTCTGATTGTTCACTTTCACTCTTCAACACCACCCGCTTTATGACTTTGGAGTAACTGTCTCCCTCTTCCACTGTGACAGGCTCTTGGGGCTCTCCCTGCATCACCACTTCTTCTTTTTCTGTGCCATCTGGTAAAACGAATCGCCTGATGATTTTCCTAGTGACCTGGCAGGGCGGCATGTTCATCAAGAGTTATGTTAGCATGTAGTTGAATTTTAAATCATGGCAGCCATATTTGTTCTTTAAAATATCTAGCATTCTCTCTCAGGCGCAAACACCAGTAAGCCTTAACTTACTATTTCATTAGCAGGTAACATGAGTTACAATTTCAGTTAACAGTTAGACCTTCGAAATGCTATTTCAAAGCAATTTTAATATATCCATTACATGATATATATTATTAAATACATTACAGTTTATTTTAACATGCTCCTACTCTGAAAAGTTTGCAAATAAAATGCAGAAACTATTTTATCAAAATGAAAAAAAAACCTCATAACAAATTTTGCAAAATGTAGTTTCAACTATTCTTCTCCCAGTTCTCTTCTAAAATGAATAAGGACTTTCTATTTTTGTGCAACAGTTATATAGGATAAAGTGTTTTCCTTTATTCCATGTGAAATAGTGTGAAATGCATACAGCCTAAATTCTCACTTTCCACAAGAGATTTCTTGTTACATATACAGGTAGTCCTCAACATACAACCAGAATTGAGCCCCAAATTTCTGTTGCTAAGTGAGATATTTGTTAAGTGAGTTTTGCCCCATTTTACGACTTTTCTTACCACAGATGTTAAGTGAATCACTGCAGTTGTTAAGTTAGTAACACAGTTGTTAAGTGAAACTGACTTCTCCATTGGTTTTGCTTGTTAAAAAGTTGCAAAAGGTAATCACATGACCCCAGGAGACTACAACTACCAAAAGTACATGCTAGTTGCCAAACTTTTGAATTTTGATAATGTGATCACAGGGGTGCTGCAATGGTCGTGTGATAAACAGCCATAAGTCACTTTTTTCAGTGATGTAACTTTAAAAGGTCACCAAACAGTTGTAAGTTGAGAACTACCTGTATTAAAGTATCCTAGAGTGGAACACACCTCAATTTAATCTGAAAAATCTTGAAGTGGGTCAAATATAATTAATGTACTAATTATATTCTAATAAATCATCAGTTGAATACCTTTTTCACCACAATATGGCCATGTTCATCCACGTACTGTTCCTCCGTTACAGCTTCCGGTGGTATTTCAGGCACATCATCAGCCTATTGAACAAAGAACAGAGTTCAGAAAAAATAACTAGCTATTTTAAATAAACTGCATAACAGAAGTTAGTTTGGCTCAAACAACAACATAAATTAAGCAAGGATCACTGAAGCAAATTGCTCCAATGCTATTAAACGTTCTGCAAATAAGTCCTTTTTAAAAGCATGCAAACTTGGAACAAGAAAGAATTTGGCTAGTAAGTGGTGCTGAAGCAGCAAATTAAACTGTCCTCTCAGAGAGATAGTCTCTTTCAAAATGCAAATTAAATATCCACTATTTGGATTTACATTCCTTTAGTTTCCAAATGAAATTAGAAAAAATATTTATGTTAATCAATTGACATGCATTACCCAGGAACATGCCAAATTCATCAGTGCATTGTCAGCCAAGGGGGTGTTTCAGGAACAGGATTTTTGGAAAAGGGTGGGTTTTAGAGGTATAATCAGGGCATAATTGCCACTGGTACGTGCAATAGTTCAAACTCCTGTACCTGAATAATTACCCGGCGGCGAACGACCCTGGTAGTTACCATCTCTTCCTCATCTGAGCTGACCTCCAGCTCACCTAATTCCTCTGCTAGCTCCTAGTGGAAGCACGGAAGCATTGCTCTCATCATACTGGTACTGTACATATGAATGAATAATTGGGCCCCTTTCTAATAACACAACGAACACCATACAAATGCTTGCTGGAATGAGATACACTGCGAAATATGCTATACTATTTTCTTTCTATTTTGGGGCTGAATGTACGAAATCTTCTTTGAACATTTGATATTACAATCTGAGGAAACCTGCCTTCAACTTTCTTTTAATACCATGTACTAAAAGCAGTGCATCAATTGAATAATGCAAATATGGTTACAGCTTTTTCTTCCATAAACCCATTAGACTAAACAGATAAGAGTTTCCAACAACTTGCTAATTATGAACTAGATCAGTGGTTCACCACGGACCCCCTTTAAATACTTTTGTGGCCACGGACCATGGCCACGGACCAACAAGACTTAACTCAAGATTTAAATCATGATATTTCTTCAAGCCTTCAGGAACTCTCTGTGACAACATCACAGCCCCCTCCCCCCGTTGAGAACCACTAGACTAGATTATATTGCAATTTTGAGTTAATTAATAATTACTATATTTGCTTCTGTCTTTTAGCCAGTAAAAATATATAATTCCTTTACACTTAGAAAACACAGTTAATTTTAATTTAAATAGTTCTGGGATATTTTTTGAAAATCCTTTTCACCTTTGCAACAGCAGTGTCTTCAGGTAAAGATCCTGGAAATAAAATTTGCTCACTACATATTTACTGTTATGATTCTTCTGCAATGGGACTTGGGACAGGTTTCTTAAACACTCAGAATGATGACTGAGTTGCCATGGGAGCAACTTTCAAAGTGCCAGGTAATTGTGAAACACTATAGGTGGGATGCATTTAGGTTACTGCTATATTGGTCAATCCAAACATCATAACTGAGTTTTTGAAGGGAAAAAATGAATTATTTTCTACAGATGAACAAAATCCTTGAAAGAAGTGGTTTGGTGAAATACCTCTTTTTATACAGTTAAAGTAGCCATTTTTTTCCAGGCTTGGGTGGTAGCATCAAAAGGTGCTCATGGGTGTATATCCATGTACAGGTAATCCTCAACTTACAACAATTGACCCCAAAATTTCTGTTGCTAAGGGAGACATTTGTTAAGTGTTTTGCCCCCATTTTATGACCTTTCTTGCCACAGTTGTTAAATGAAATCACTGCAGTTGTTAAGTGAATCTTGCTTCCCCACTGACTTCGCTTGTCAGAAGGATGCAAAAGGTGATCAGATGACCGAGGGACATTGCAACTGTCATAAATGTGAGCCAGTTGCCAAGCAGCTGAATTTTGATCACATCACCATGGGAATGCTGCAATGGTCGTAAGTGTGAAAAACAATGATAAGTTACTTTTTTCAGTGCCGCTGTAACTTCAAAGAGTCACTAAACAAACTGTTGTAAGTCAATTACTACCTGTATTTGTGCCTCTTCATTTCATTGTTTTCCAGTGAGTGAAATTGTTGTGCATGGTCAAGGATAACTTTTGAAGCATCCATACAAACCTGGATAAAGCTGCTTTTCCATTTAAAGAAGCTATTCCATGCATGCTCCTAAATGTTCCCAAACACTTCTTTGGAAAAAAGTGTGCAGCTCTATTATTTTCTGATTTAACTGATTTTTTTTTTTAATGAAAGGTTTTGACAATTCCCAATTGCCATGGGACAAAAGTGCATTTTCATTCACAATCTAATTCCTAACACATTCTTTGTAGGAATTAAAGCATGAAAAGTGTGCAATTTCAATGAATTCTTATTTTGCTGCAAATGTGCACGTTTGGAAAAACTTTCAAAATATTTCTTGCCTCTTTTCTTTCCATATAGTACAAAAACATTGTATCTTAATCTTGCTAACTTTTTTCTTTCAAGAATTCTTCTTACATCCATTTCATATTTTTCAGCTCAGGTGTATTCTGTTCTTATTCAGCTGATAGCATATTTTTAGTTATAATTCCTTCTCTTTATTTCTGTGTTACTGCTTTACACATTTTTCAGTGCATTTGTCTTTCAATTTTCTTTTCCTAGAACTGTCTTTTAATCTACAGTGTCTGAACATCTGTTTCTTATTATCTGTGTGTATTGTTCCAAGTATTAAATAAGATTATATTAAAGATTTTCTTCTTCATAAATTCTTCAAAGGGCACTACTTCATGAATCATATTAGTGTTACAACTTACTTTTTCTAACAATTCTTCTTCATGTCTTTCTAATTCTTCAGGCTGTTCATCAGTGGTTTCAACAATTACCAGGCTGTTTTTCCTTGGATGTGTATCTTCTTGCCGAAAGTGATGGTCTTCAGGTTCTTCCACAATGGGGGAATCAGTTCGATCACTAGATGCTGAAGTATGAAATGGTGGCCTTTCAAGGTCTTCACATCCTGGGGTGGAATCCCCAGACTTGTCACTGGTAATGCTGGCTGTTTTCACACTTTGGGGCACTTGTGTCAAATCTGCTCCAGAAGTTGTGATACTGTTAATAAAGATTGGAGGAAACAGATGATTAGTTCTTCTAGCCTGTCTCTGAGGAATAAGATTTATTATAAAGCCACTTGGCTTGGTTTTGAAAAGTGGCAAGTAACATTCTGAAATGAATAAATCAGGATACAGTTGAGTGAGAATACAAAAGAGAATTCAATACTGATTGTCATGATTACAAATCTAATATTGTACAAGTTCTTCTATTACTTTGGAAATATATTACAACTTATTTTTAAGTAAACTGGGAATCATCAGACAAGAAAATGGCATCTAAAAATATTTTGTATAGACAGTTGTGTTAAACCAAACCAGTCTAGCTTTCCAGTACTCCCTTATGATTTATTTTGATTACAAATGGTGGGACTTTCTGATAGAAAAGAGTCCTTCAATTTCCTCCCTCTTTAAAAAAAGATATTTGGCCTTCCTGAATTCTTGCCAGCAATTTCACTGCCTCCATTCAGTTTATTCTGTTGCAACCATAGGATAACAGAAGAAAGAATGGAATAGAATTAATGGTTTTCTTTCCAGTCTATCATGTGTGTCATAATAATTGTCTCTTTGTGATTATTTAATTCAGACTAATATTACATAAGTGCTCTTATTCTAACTCAGTGGTCCTCAACCTGTAGTCCGTGGAACCTGGGGGGGGGAGGGGGTCATCACAGGGTATCCATGAAGGCTTGAAGAAATATTATGATTTAAATCTTGAATTAAGTCTTGGAGGTCTGTGGCCACAAAAGGTATTTAAAGAGGGGCTGTGTGAAGAAAAGGTTGAGAACCTGTTTATTTCCAGGAATAGGAGTAGGCAAGCTCAAGGATTACCCACTTTGGGAATCTTTGGCCTCTTACTGATTGACATTCCTCTCATGGAAGCAATGCCTGCTCCTCAATGAAAATTTCACCCAGTAATTCAGTATCCAGAGAACCTTGGCTGATCTTACCATAAACTGAGCTTCATTAAAAAAACCAAACCAAACCATTCTCTAACCCAGTCAATATTTTGCCATACTAAAAACATGCTCAGAAGTATGACAAATCTTTAGAAACAATAATGAAACCTTATTGTAGATAATTCAATAATCTATTTTTATTTAAATTAATAAGTCCAAGAATATTTTAAAATGATATGTTGGTCATATATTTGCTTTACCGTAAAATTTTAGAAATTTAGTTGATTTTTTCATTGAATTTCTAGTCTTGCAAAAATTGTATTTGTTCCTTGCTTATGAAACATGATCTCTACACAATAAATATTTCCTATTGCTATATACGTCACCCTACTGTAGAATTCTTACACATATTCCTGTATAGTAGGTGAATCTTCTGTCAGTTCATGAGGCTTCCCTGAGAATTCAGCTTTCACATGATCTTTCTGTATTTGGTGTAGTAGTTCTACCACAGATACTTCTGCCTCAGCCTTAGATGTGCCTTCATGCAAGGGTGAACAACTGAGAGAAAGGTCTTCTTCTGAAACAAGGGGAGGATGATCTGATGGCTCACTGTCTTTAGAAAAGGAATATTCTTCCTCTTTTTTATCTTTTGTGCTGCATAGATCTTCATGAAGTGCAGAGAATCCTGAAGACAAAGTAAAACAACAATAATTTAATCTTTATAAATGAAGTAACTACTATCTAGATGCAGATTTGTAGTGATGTGATCTGCAGCAAAGGTTTCATGCTAAAAGACCATATAACAAGCAACTAAGCAGTTTCAAAATATAAATTAAAAGTTTGCTATATTTAACATAAATAGCCATGCCACATGTTTAAATATAAGAACTTATTAGTGATTTCTACGAAACCTATCTATAAAACTCCATATAGTCAAACTTTCAATAAAGGAAGGTATTTGTAGTTTAGGATTGAAGTGAGGGGTCCTTAGTGCTAAGCTTGATTGTTTTCTTTCAGATGTTTCATTACCCAAACTAAGTAACATCATCAGTACTAGTAAAGAGTGGGGTTTGCTCTCAATTTATATTCTAGTGGCTTGCCCTGTCACTGTTGGTGGGAGTGGTCTTGGAGTTCTTTGGCTGGGTTGTTTACTGTTAGCTTGTTTGAAAGTTGCTTGATTGGGATATTGTTTACTTCTTGACTGTTGGGCTGATGTTAATCTTGGGAGTTAATCTGTGCTCATCTGGGTGCTGATTGCTCATGTGGGGGAGTGTTTTGGTCTTTTTGTTCCCTTTTTAGCTTGTTTATTGTCTCTTTCACAAATATGTAGACATTGTTTCCATCTATAAGGCTATTGATGGCTAATTTTTCAGAATGCCAGGCTTCTAGAAATTCTCTAGTGTTTTTGGACTTGGTTTGGTCTAAGGTCTAGGATGGTCAGATTTTCCCAACTGAAACTATAATTAAGTTTGTACATATGTTGTAAAATTAAAGAGTTTTTAATCATGTCTTCTAACTGCTAGTTGGTGTTCATGGATGTGTTCTGGCAGTCTTCTTCCTGTTTGTGCTATGTAGTGGCTGTTGCAGTCATTACACTATATGTTGTAGATCAGAGTTCTCCAACCTTTCGGGATTGGTGGCCTGAAGCATGGGAGGGGAAAGAAGGGATGGTTTTGTGGGGGAGTGAATGCATACATGCACATGTGCGCATGCATGAACACCCATTGCTCGCATGAGTGGGGCCGTGAGCACTCGCATGAGTGGGGCTGCAAACACCTGCAACACTGACGGCGACGCTCGTGTGAGTGGGGCTGTGTGTACATGCACACATCGGCCAGCCACTCACATGGCCTGGTGGCCAATGGGGCACAGCCCAGTAGTGGGCTGTGGCCCATAGGTTGGGGACCCCTGTTGTAGATGACTCCTATTTTTTCATCTTGGGGATATGGGTTTTTTGGTTTACTTAGGATGTTTTGGAAGGCTTTAGTTGGCTTGTGTCCTACATGATTTCATATGGTTTTAGTAGTCTGTTAATGGTTTCTGAGATGTTCTGGCAGTGTTATGCTTTTTACAGTTTGTATTGTTTGTGCTATATTGGTTTGAATGGTCAGGCACTTTTTCTTAAAGTTGCATGGATACTCATTTTATTAGAAGACATTGTATAGATGGCTTTATTTCCTTTTTCTGCTGTTCAGATTGCTGCAGTGAGTTTGTCCTTGTCTAAATAAAGTTCTTACGCAGCTTCTCTTGTGGGACGTTGGATTATATTGCTTTGGTAGTGGAGCACTTATTGGTATGGGGTTTTTCAGTACACTTGTGTTTCTAGTTTGCCATCACGGTCTCTGGTGATCAGAGTGTCCAGGAAGGATAGTGAGTTGTTTTTGTCTTCTTCTCTGCTAAACTGGATTCTTTTGAAGATATTGAAGATCATCTACTATTGATCTCTCTATATTCAGTGATATAATATAGGATGATTCACTTCTGATTATCACTACTACAGTGTTGGAAAGCACTATATTTATTACTATATGAACTGATAGGAATGCACTCCATGGTATAGAATCACTGGTAGTTATCTCAGTGATAGCTGATGGGTATTATTTCATAACCATCAGTTATTGAATAGTAACCATGCCTGTGTAAGCATATTCTCACCTTCACTGTGATCCAGTACCATCGTCTGTTCAATTTCTGCATAGGTGCGGCCATGATCTCGGGACATTTCCATGCTACTTTCCATTAGATGAACAATATCCATTCGATTAATTTTTTTAAGACACTCTGTGAGACCTGAATCTGTGTTATGGAAGAGACAGCATTTATTTTTAACAATCTGTACATACGAAGAATGTCATCTACTCAGTTTTGGGATAACTGCTGTGAAGTCAGCCAATAGGAGGGTAGAGTGTAAGACTGTGTCTCTAATCACTTGAAAAACAGTGGTTATTTATTTTTCTTTCTTTTTGATCTCTCTAGTTGTCCTGATACTCACACTTATATATGATTGATTATATTCCTGGGGAGGAATATGAATTGCCTCCTGAAATGGCTTTAAAAACAATCTTCCAAGTAACAATTGCCCACTAAATATATTCAGATATATGAAAAGGGTGACCATGTGGTAGCTTTGTACAAGTTATCTACACTTCTGTGAAAAGCAGCCCCAAAGTTGCACTATTAGTGGAATGTCTCTTCATTCCAATAGTAAGTACTTAACTAGGAGTCTATAGCAATATAGGTAGCCCTTGATTAGTGACTGCCTTGTTTAGCAACTGTTTGCAGTTATGATGGTGATAAAAAATGTTTACAATCTTTTCAGATCTGTAAAGGAAAACTGAAGTGACATCATAAGCATAGTCACAATTTCACTTAGCAACCTCTTCAGTTAATGATAGAATTGCCAGCCCCAATTGTGGGCACTAAATGTAGATTACTTGAACATAATAACAGACAGATAGTAATTATCTTGGTTGCTTAAATGAAATTATTTCTTGGGGTAAAGTAGCTAATAACAGTACTAGTACTGTTTATGTTTTATTTATAAGCTGCCCTGCATCACGAATGTGAGATGGGTAGCTACAGTATATAAATTAGCTAAATACATTATAAATTAAAAAGGAAGAAAATGGATAATTTTATGAAAGAGTTCTATCCTCTATATATTATCTACCTCTCAGAAAAAAATACTGGAGGAGTGCTATTAATGTTTGGCAACCATATTAGCAAGGAAAGACATGTCTATTCATAGAGCTGTCTCATTCTTTTGAGTATGTACAAATACAGGATGTCCTGGAGAATACACAGGATTTACCTGGAAATTATGCAGATACAGTTGCTCTGAAAGTGACAATACCACAGGAAAGTAAATTTACCCTTCTCTATTTGAATCATTTTTAGTTTAAAACCATACTACCTTCAAGTTATTACATGTCCTCCAAGAAAAGCATATAAACAGAATATGAGCATGTTAGTTTATATATCATTGGGATATAAACAGTTCTATATTATTGAAGACATAGAAAAAAGAAACATTAGAAGTCCTTTTCATCAGTGCTGTAGACTGGTCTCAACTGTGTAGCTACGTTTACAGATAGGAGATTAGATCACAGAGAATTATCATCTATAGAAGTCCATATATACAGTAGTATAGGTGTCCTTATGTGTATGTAAGATCTTTATATTGTTTTGGTTTTGTATGACATTTGCATTCTCTTATGTACATTGCACTTGGCTATCAGAAAGGAAAAGGTGTGAGGGATGGTAACTGCTAAAACAAATATACCAGTGGCATGTTTTTCATCTCTTTCCAGCCAATATTTCAGTAAAGCGTGACTCTGATCCTGAAGGGAATTAGGATTCTCAATTCGAATTTGATGAATTTGTTCTTCAGTGAAATCCAGTTCTCTTGCTAGCTCTGTAAGCACAAAGTATTCAAATAATTTTGACCAGTTGCAATTCTTTATAAATATCACTTATTGTTACTATTAGATTATAATTCTATATTCACCTTAGAATAAACCCTAATATACCGTGTTCCCCTGAAAATAAGCCCTAGCTTGATTTTTGGAGGTGAGCCTAATATAAACCCTATCCCAAAAACAAGCCCTAGTTTTGGGGCGAGGCACACACTTAAAAATCAAGCTACAGCGGGGGTAGGGGTGTGGATCTGCCCCATGCGCCCGCACCCATTTAGCTTGCAGCCAGGACTCTCCTCGCCAGCTCACTTTTTTTGCAGTGTCTTCTGCAGCCAGGCCTGCATTTTATAGTCACAGGCCTTTCCGGAAGGCCTTTGCAGCCAAGAACCGAAGTATGGATTCAATCCATAGGTCAGTTCTGCAAGACCTCTGCAGCCAAAGACCAAGCTATGGCTTGAATCCATAGCTCGGTATGTGGCTACATAGGCCTTCCAGAAAAGCCTGACTGCAAAATGCAGACCAGAATGCAGTGCAGAATGAAGCTGCTCCTTCGCCCCCAAAAGAAGTGGACCGGCTAGGCGGGGCTGTTAGTGCTGGGGATGAGTAAGACATCCCCTGAAAATAAGACCTGGTGCCTCTTTTGGAGGCAAAATAATAATAATAATAAGACCCGGTCTTATTTTCAGGGAAACATGGTATATATATTATATATTCAGGTACACAGGTAGTTCTGTTAATATTTAACAGCTCTGTGAAAATTGTAGACAATATTTTTCTTTACCGTATATATAAGGAACATTGTTAAGATTATACTTGAACTATAACTTTTACAGTTGCAGTCAGTTATAATCACTACACTGCATTTGCTATTACCATAATGTTTATTTAATTGAAGAATTCTCAGTAGCGTCAGGATCAGGAGGCGCACTCTTTCTACCCCTCTTTTTCATTCTCCTGGGGTCCTATTCTACAGTCATCAAATTTTGTGAGCAAATTGCTAATTATATGGGTGTGCAATTCAAGAGGTGCATTGAGACTTCAATAAGTTTAATGCATCTACTTTTAATGTATTTTTAAAATATCTTCAGCATTTTAAATCTAGATAAATTGCACAACAATTTTCTTCTGGGAATATCATTGCATTATCTCCATGCTCCCTGTAAAAATGATAAAAACAATAGAGTACAAAGTTGTAAAAAAGTTGCTATCTCTTGTTCTTGGACTTTTATGAATTCTGCTTTCTTATGGGACTAGTATTCTATTGTTTTTATGGAAAACTTACACATGTGTTCAAACTTCATTTGAGTATTTTTTAAAAAATACAACCCAGTTTCTATTAACATTAATTCAAAGCAACAATAATGCATCTGCATTACTCCTTAAGTACATAGATCATCTGGTCTTCTATCAGCAAAACAGATCATTCACATTTAGTACATCTCAAGAAGAAAGATTTGTTATTAGAATTGTTATCTTCTCTGTGCCTTTTCTTTTTATTCTAACAATAAAAATATAGATTATATTTATGCTGCATTACAGTAGTCCAATTTTGCACTGGATTACGGTAGCCCAATTTTGTGAAGTGGTGTTTGTGTGAGAAATCAGAAAATGCTATTTTTCCCTCATTTTTTTGTTTGTTTATCAAATTTTTAAAACTATCCGCATTCCTCACACAAGGATGATGAGGGACATGTTAGCCTGATCTTGGCAATGGCTTTTGGGGAATTACTAAATATTAAGCTTTTCCAGAAAGTTCTTAGGAAATGATACATTTCGTTATTTAGATTTTCATTTATTTATTTAAAAATACTGATGTTCTCAGGTGTTTTTAAATGAACACATGGTGATTTTTAATTTACTATGGGCATTTTATAGTATTTTGGCATTTTGTGAACCACTGTGAGTCAGCAAAGATCGTTAGTAATAATATTTATTTTAGTACATATTTATTTTAGATAATTTATTTAGTAATAATATTATTTTAGTACATATTTATTTTAGAACCCAGTCTTATAACCATGTGTGCATATCATATTTATATAGCAAGAAAGCATCAGTAGATATACCAATTAAATCTGCGCCATGCTAATAGCATTAAATCTTCAGCACATTTTACTGAAGAGAAGAGTTAAAATCAAGAGAGGGACTAGATTGCTATTAGCCTTCTTGAATTATAACTGTTCAGTCAGCATGTTCAATGATTCTGGAAGTTGTACTCAAAAAAATTAGAAAGTACCGGGTGGTATGGAATAAGCAAACATGTGAAAACTTGTTTCTGGCAAGAACACAAATTAACAACTGTGATCTCTCCTAGATTATACTTTACCTGTCCAGCTGAATCCAAGATGATCAGCAATATGTGCTAGTCTTTCTTCTATTCTTTCCTGATCACCTTGTTGTTCTAAAATAAGATTAATAGGACAGTTGTTTATTTGTAGGAAAATATTTTTTAAAAATAAAAGGAGTCTCCATAAAATAGGCCAGTGTTTTTAGAACAGTGGCTGTTTTAAATTAATTAAAAGCTTCAATATATGACTAGATTTAAAATATTCTATTCTTCAGCATTCATTAAGAATTTTTTTTCAAAGATATGCATTAATATGTTATTGGAAACACTGTCCTAAATTTTATGTAAGTTCCCATCTATTTTAAACAAAACAAAACAAAGGGACATTAAATATTTTGCTGGGGCAGAGATTTAATTTTTCCATGCTACTTTGGTCATTAACAAATTAAATGCATATTTGTGGTCTCTAGAATCAGGCTCTGTGTCTTCTTCTCAAACACTGAACTACATTTTAAGCCACATAACTGCAAACAGTTAAAACCAATTATGAATTATTATGTCAGGATGATATATTAAATCATATATTTATCTCAACATTTCATCTTTTTTCTCCTCATTTTTTTTCTTCTTCACAAAAGTAGGCATGGAAAAGCAAGCACAAACTTGTTTGGAGAAAATATGCATAAAAGCAGCAGGAAAAATAGATATATCCAAAAGCCAAGGCAATATCAGCAGAGTTTGAGTTTTTGTTTTCCCATAGATACATTTTAGATCTTCAAAAAATCTATTAGGAAATATATTCAGAATCCCACTATCATTTTTCCTTAGTACTCTACAGCACTACTGTAGGAATGGATTCTTAAGAAAAAAATATACATGAACATTCCTCTCTAAATTTTAGAGGACTGAATCCATATATTCAGTATTTGAAAATAGCCTTCAGTTAATTATGGAAGCAAAGTTCGATATGTTTCTAGCTTCTGATAACTTTGATAAATGGATCTACATATCCAGAATTATAGTAATCTTACCTGTCTTTTTCTGTGTCAAAAATATTTCATTAAAAAGATTCAAGCAGAGTGATGAAAAATCAAAAACTAAAACTTGCATTGGTCAGCTGTACTACAAGTGAGATAATGTTATAAGTTTATTAGTGTTAAAACAACATTAGACAAGTGTGTGTTTTTCACACAAGAAAGCTTATTTTGTTATATTTATGCTTTCCATGAACATTTGCATTGTGCAATCTTGAGATTGTTTCAGAGACAGTAAAATACATAAAAAACACAAAACAAATGGAGCTCACACAAAGCACATTAATAAATATAGGAAGCTTTTAAAAACAACACACAAACCACACACCAAAAGCAGGGCAAGAAGTAAAAGAGAAGAAACAACAAGCAAAACCTTGTGATTTATGACATGCGTAGCAAAGGGAACCCAGTGGCTGGCAAATACCTTCAACATGATCAGGGACATTTTCATCAGGAATACGTTCAATCAGAGTCTCAATAGACTCATCCCAAATGGGCCTGGTGTCAAAGATGTCCTCGGCAAGTGACTGCTGGGTTTCAATGGATGGCACATTTTCAATAACTGAAACTTCTAGGGCACTACTACTTTCATCATCTGAAACTAATTCTTGTTCTCTCTCTGATTGTGTAAGTCTATCGACTAACTTGGAAGCTTCATCGCTAATCTCCTCAAAGAATTCTATAGAGTTTTTGTAAAGGTCAAAAAAATGTTCCTTACTTTCTTTTGAGGGACTAACAGCATTTCGGGAAGCTGAGGCACTTCTGCTCTTAACAGGTAATCGTGAAGAAAATATCTTTGGTCGGGCAGTCATCAACTCATCTGATTCTAGTTCAAGCTTCATCTCACCCACCCTGTCTCTGGTCTCTGCTTCTGCCTCAGTGTAACTTCTAGCTTTGACCGAAAGCTTAGCTTTTGAGTCTATGGAGGCACTGGCATCAGATTCAGATTTGCTCCTAATGTCTTGTTTCATAGGTACTTTGCAGGTTACATCAGGGACTGTAGATGATTCTGACTGCCAGGCAGGTGTTTCTGTCTCTGATGATTCTTGCTCACCTCTTTGAAAAAATGCCTTAATTGGAATTTTAGATTTTGGTTTAGAAGCATCATCCTGTGGTTCTTCCAGATTGTCTGTGAAGTCAACTGAAGGAAGGCTATCAGCTTCTGACTTATCTGATGATGGAAATGTAGCTGGAGCAGTCCTAATGGGGATTTTGGATTTGCTTTCAATAGAAGGCACAGTCTCCATAGCAGCTGTGGGGATTTCAATCACAGATTTCTGCTCCTCTGGGGAGGAATCTGGGGAATCATCTTCTTTTTCAACACAAACAGACCTAGTGATTGTGGAAAAATTTAAGTGTACATCAATCACTGTCTGCTCAGGAGAGCTAGGACAAGGCATCTGGGAGCTATCAAATGTATCACTAGAGGGGAGGTCATGATCAGAAGCTGTTGTTTCTTTCTTTGGTGATTTTGAAGAGGCTGAAATACCCATTTTAATAGGAATTCTAGATTTAACATCTTCTTTTGTACTATATAAAGCAGTGGCCTCATCCTCTGATACAGATATAAGGGAACTTCTCATAGCTGTTTCTGTTTTATTAAATTCAGAAGATGCAATGGAAATCAAAGATTGTTCCTCAGGGAAGCATTCTAGGCCTTCGGCTTCTCTCATTTCTTCAGATAATGACACTTCTTCCTGAGATGTCTCTCCCATCTGGAAAAAGTCTAAGCTTTCATCAGAATAATTCCTTTTAGTCATATCAATGGCACCACTCCTTGTCATTTCAAATAATTTTCCTTCCTGGAAAAGGAACGGATTTGGTTCACTGGAAGGAGTCCCATCTTCAGTAGGTGTTCTGGCTGGTGTTGTATCAGGTGTGGTGCCTTGTGACCTCCTGTCTACCATTAAGCCAAATATTTTTTGTTCTTCCTCCTTCACCCTAGCCTCAAAAGCATCATCATCTTCACGAATTTGACTCCACTTGTCAGAATCCACATCTGTCCTAGTTATAATTACTTGGCTAATTATTTTTTCAGCTTCATCCCTGATACCTTGTAGAGCAGTTTCATCTAGTGATGTAGAGGCTGATGCTGAAGATTCTGAAGCTGGTCTTTTCTGAAAATCGTCCATTTCCTTGGATACTATCTCCATACAGCCACTTTCTGGGACCTGAACTTCAGAACCTTCTGATAGTGTTCTATAAAGAGAATTCATTCTTGTATCTTCAGCCATTTTATTTTTTTCTTTATCAGAATAATCTTCCTCAGGTGACTGATCTATTCTTGTTTTTAAATCAGTTTCTGGACTAATTTCATCATTAGTAAAAAAATGTTGTGAAGGGACATTTTCATAAGGGCTTGTTATAGGCAAAGCACTACTTTTGCCAAATTCTTCTATATCACTTTCATACATACTTTTTGGGGTTGTTGGAGGTGAGTATTTTATGGCATGCTCTACGCTAGAAAAAGCCCTGTCTGTCATCTCTAACCTGTGATCTGTTCCAGCCAAAGGGGAGTGATCAGGTGAAACATTAGTAGCCAATACATTATTTTGTGAAACACAGCAATGAGAAGTCCCAGGTATACAGGAGCCCTCTGAAGTTCCTCCCATAGTAATTAAATCATTTGGTAGCACCCCTTCAGATACTACATTATCTTTTAAAGAATCATCCTGCTGGTATGATGCCACTGAAGTTTCATATAACTCAGTTATTTTTTGAGCATCATCATCAGCAGAATGGTAGAAAGATTCCTCAGGTGGCATCATAGGGCCATTAGGGCTAACTGTGTCACTCTCATCTGTGTCACACTTTGATTCGCTAGCCTGTGCTATGATGCTGGCATCAGAAGCAAGTGAAGTATCACACGACATTTTGGTTTCCTCAGTTGGTTTATCAGATTCTGTGTTATCCTCCTCAGTACTAAATGCTTGCTGCTTAGACTCAATAGGCTGAAATCCTGTCTCTTCAGGACTGGAACTGGAATCCATGATAGAAAGATGAGATGAAGAAGGTTGCAGTCTCATTGTAGGTTCCATTAACAGCCCAGAATCAGCTTCTTTTTTCAGCTTTGTTAATTCTGGCTCACTTTCTGAGGACGAAGAGCTCTTTCTAGATACAACTCCAGAAGTCACTACTGTAGATAAAGTATTATCTTCTAGAGTTGTTGAAGACAACCTTTCAGTTTCGGAAGCATTTTCCAAATCAGAAACTGAAATCATATCATCTTGTTTGAAATCCTTTCTATAGTCCCTCTTCTGTTTTGCTTCCTGTTCCAGCTCGTCAAACATCTTAATTTTGGCCACCATTTTAAACATCTCCTCTTCTGGAGTGAATCTTTTCTTTGGTTCATCTTCTGAATCATCTTCTGGCTCTTCATTAACCTCAGGAATTACTGCGGACTTGGGTATATTTGCAAGAATCTGTGATTCAGTTATTTTTGGTGTGATTTCATAACTAATTTCTTCAGAGCTAGGAGTCTCAGGTGAAAGAGGACTTTTTCCCGAGCTCTCCAAAAGAGATGTTTGTTCTAAACTGTCATCTTCGGCGCTTCCATCAGGATCACGTAAGAGTCTAGACCGTACAGGGGCTAGTTCTGGGAAGTTTTCAGCTTTAGCAGGGATAGCCTGAATTGGACCAGGACCTGGAAGGAAACCAGCCTTTGATTTCTGTTCTACAGGACTACTTTCCAGAGAATCACGACAGGGAGATTCTTTGGTTGGACTAGGCTCAAGTGAATCAGGTGTTTTACGTGAAGAATTATCTTCCAACACTGGGCTTGCTTCCAATGAATCTTTATGACTTATAGCTATGGATTCATCTGCGGCTGGACTAAGACCTTCTCCCTCATGGCTAGGAAATGAAAGCTCTAGTCCTCTGCTAATGGTATATGGCTCAAAGGATGTATCCTCATCTTTTTCAATAAAAGAATCATTCTGTTCAGCTAATTTAGTTAAATGTCTTTGATCTGGCAGCACTGATGACTTATCATGGAGAGCATCTTTATCAATCAGAGTTGAACTAAAATCTAGGCCTTTGGAATGTTCTTCTGACACATGATGGGAATGGGATTCTGTGGTTTCTGTCATATCTTTTAGGTCTTTGTCACAAATAGTAATTTCCTTTTCTGTTGGAGAAAGCCCCCTTGGTGAATGTGTTTCTGATGTTCTCTGCACTGCACTGGCTAATATAGTTTCTTCCATCTGGTCAGCAGCTTCTGTTTTCTTTGATGAAAGGCTCTCGGGGCTTGTTTCTGGAGTTTCTGCCAAGCCCTCATGCTTATAACTTTCCTCAGAACTGTTTTGGGGAGTTCCATCAAGCAGGCTACCAATTGGAGAATCTGCTATGCCTTCGTGTTTAAGACTTTCTGAGCTGCCATCCAAAGCACCACTTTGCAAGGAGAGTGTGGGCAAATACCCATCTTTCATATATTCTGATGGAAATGTAATATTGAATGGACTGGTTAGAACTTGATCTAAGTGAAGCTCACCTTCCTCTGTGATTGAAATATGCCGCAACTGTTGGTATTTATCATTGTCTTCCAGCTCTTCTTTTATGACATCAGAAAAATCAGTTGATGTCTTTCTGTCTGGACTAATCTGAAGCTCAGTATCCCCTTGGTCATCAAATATCAGGGCTACATCTTTGGATTTTTCTTCAACAATGACAGGAGGTTCTTTTTTGCTGTCACTCTGTGATTTTGTGATTAAATCTTTCTTCAAGGTTATATGAGGTATACTCTGTGTGATTTTTTTAGATTGCAAACCTACCTCTGTCTGAGGTTCCTGGTTCTTTTTGCTTTTAGGACTGTCTTTTTTATGTGTGTCTCTAGAGGTTGATGCTAGCTTCTTTTCACTTTCTGCTTGAGTAGCTCCTTTTTTAGTTGTCACTTTGTCTGAATCCTGTTGTTTCTGCTTTATAGTCTTATGCTCAAAAAGTCCAGCTTTATGCTTTGATGGGTCTTGACCTGACTGGAAAGCTTTCATTAGTTCACGAACAGACATAGTCTCTTCAATTCTTTCTGTTTTGGAAGATGGTGACACAGAAGACTTCTTAGTTGTAGGAGAAACAGGAGGCTTTTTAGCTGTGGGAGAAACTGATGGCTTTTTAACTGTGGGAGAAACTGGTGGCTTCCTTGATGTGGGAGAAAGAGTTGGCTTTTTTGTGGTAGGAGAAACAACTGGCTTCTTAGTAGAAGGAGATGACAGTTTAGAAGGAGAGGAAGAAGCAGCAGAAGTCTTTGGAGAAGATGGAATCTTTGTGGCTGATGGAGAAGCTGAAGTCTTTGTGGAAGAGGGAGAACCTGGAGGTTTTGTTTTACAAATAATCTTTTTAGTTTGCGATGGTTTTGTAACAGGCTTCTCGGATCCCTCTTTTCCTTGGAGTCGAACTGGCAACTTTGAACGTCCTTTCTGTTCATCTTCTACTCTCTTCTGAAGAGCTTTCACTTTATCTTTAATTGACCCAATAGGGGTTTCTTCTATAACTGGAGACACAGCAGTATCTTTCACAGGCTCTGCAGCAGATAATAGTTGCTCTTCATCTAAAGATTCCTCTGAACTGAATTTGTTTAGCCCTAAAGGCTTATCCTTTCCTTGGGTTTCTTCAACCTTTAGATTTAATTTATCTTTTAATTTCTTTCTAACAGGTTTTTTAATTTCCAGGGTAGGTTTGCATTGATCTTGCATCTTTTTGTCTTTTTTGTCTGATTCAGAACCTCTGCTTACAACAACAGCTTCAAATCTTTCTTCTACTATGTCTTCTCGAAATGTCTGTGGTTGCATTTCATTCAAAGACACATAAAGGCTTAGATCCTCACTGAGATAATCAACCATTCCTGTCATATCTTTTGTTTCTTTCTTTGATTTTCCTTTGCCTATTCTATTTTCTACACAAATAGGCTCACAAACTTCCAAAGGAACATTTTGCTTGGCCTCTTCAATTTCTTCATCACTTAAAAGAACCCAATCTTCTTCCACCAACTTTTTTCCAGAAGCAGATCTCTGCAAAGCTGGTTTTTCTTTGGGGCAGCTCCCACTTCTTAGAATTTCATTCACTTTTTCCAAGTCTTCTTTAACTCTTTCCACAATTTCAAATGGTTCTCCAGGCTCTTCATCAGCAGCTTTTGTAAGGTCTTTTACTTTAACAGAATCTGTTTTTTCAGAAGAATCTGTTGTCAAAATTACAGTCATTTTTATCAAATCTTGTTTCATCTCAGAGACTTCAGACAGCAAATCTGGACTTGCTAGGACAGGAACATCATTGACAAGATGGCTTTTCAGGACAGATGTTTCTGTAGATTCTGTTTCGTCATCATCTTTGATGGAAATAGGGGAAAACATTGGAAATAAATGGAAATCAAAAATAGAGATTGTCAAATGTAATCAGGATTGAAATGACTGTTTTTGATTGCAGCAGTAGGAGGATCAACAAAATGATCTGGGAATGGTGGGTCCACAAATCTGATGGTGGAAAAAAAAAAGCAAAGCAAAGCTAATAGGGAAAACTGAAAAGGAAAGTAAGCAGGAAATAACTTGCTTAGTTTTTGCAGTCCAACACATCCATACACACAAACACCAAAGCTTTTATAAACCAAGACACCATAAAAACAAATTCAGGAAAGGAAAAGAAAGTGTGGGATTTACACAAAAATAGATATCTCAAGATTGTTCAGATGTTACAGATCAATGTTCAAATAAAAATAGAACAAAAGAAGGATTGTAATTGGTTGAAAATTGATGTCCTCAAAGAGAAAGCCAGTGGTAGCAAACTTCAGAACCGTAATTAGTTATTATATAAACATTATTCAATAATCAAAGTAAAAATATCTATGTTTACATTTAATTCTACAGTACTTTACAATAAATGAAATACACTGATATCTGAGGTAGCTGCAAACCGGCATTTCATCTAAGGGGAATCTTACATCCAAATAATGGCACAGACACAACACTTATTTCAGGAGGCATGGTCCTACTTTGGAACATCCTCATATTTAAATAAATAAATAAATAAGATGGAAAAATAAGGGGAGGGGGTAATTAAAATGCCACCACCACAGAATAGAGAATTCAAATGTTCAAGGAGAAAATGTAATGGATGGCAACCAGAAACATTCATACATAGACAGACACAAACATACACACGATACATACATACATACATACATACATATATATATGTAAGCCAAGTTATTTCCATGCAAAGCAAAGCTGTTGCATACATTGCAGGGTAACTATTCTTACATTAAAATAAGCCCAATAAAACTTAAAGATTAAAAATTAAAATGAAATTAAATCATGTGGAAAATACTGTGGTGAAGTTTGATTTTCCAGTATACTTCATATCTGATTTGGAAAAAAACATTGGATATGACAAGAATAAAAATAAAACGTTTTGCAGTAAGGCTCCCTTTAGAGACATCAAGAACTTTATAGCTATTTGTAATTTAGTTTGTCAGTCTGTCTTTTTCTATGATCAGCCAGGTGTGGCTGTGAGCTCTGGATATTAGTGATGTGCCTAATGCTATTTGTATATACTCAACTTGTTCCTCTTTCCCTCTTTTCTGGGTTGCCATGCATCTTCTGCGGCATTGGAGAGTTCATTATAATTGCTATTGATGAAAACTTACTAGTTTTCTGCTAGTGCAAGAGGCCATGGTTTATCAGGCACTTCCTGAATAAAGTAGGTAGGGACTCAGTATTCCCCAAATAACAAGGTTTGATTTAGCTACTGCAATTGTCAAATAAGATTTGAGTGAGTTAATGAGTTAGTGAGTTACTTTACTGTAAAGTTATCTTAACAAAATTTATATGTATATTTCTCTCCCTTTAAGTCCAAGAGAACTGGGGAGGGATTCTTCTGAGCCTTTAATCCCATCCACATTCCCGCTAAAGGCTCAGCTGCCTTTTATCTGATTGTTCCCTAAATTGCTCTCTTTGCCTTGACCCCAAGATCGCTCCCACATACTACTGTATTACACTGATTGATTGAGTTAGACAGGATTGTTGGATTACTAGTCTCAATTACCTATTTCTGTAATGTGACTTCTTTCTCTGTATACTTTGCAGCCGCTATACAACATGTATCTGGCACTATAGCACAAGAATGTTTGTTTCAAATAGCCATTTGCATGATGTAGAGAGCCAGTTTGGTATAGAGATCAAAGGCACCAGACTAGAAACCAGGAGACTGAATTCTAGTCCTGACTTAAACATAAAACCAGTTGGGTGACTTTAGGCTAGTCATTCTCCCTCAGCTCTAGGAATAAGGCAATGGCAAACCACTTCCAAACATGTTTCCAAGAAAATTGCATAGATTTGTACAGGAAGTTGCCAAGACCATCTAACATCTATCCTCATTTGTGGCAAAAATAATTCATTTCCAGCAAACAAAATTCTAAGACATAAAAAAATCTCACAGAAATACTTCACCAGAGTATTAAGACATAGATAGATGGTTTAAAGATCTTTGTTACTTTCAACAGTATCACTTTTATACTAGCATCTAGACATTTCATGTGAGTAATTTCATGATGAGTTTTGACAGTTTGAATATTTTAATTTTTAAAAGTGATACTGTAATTAGTTTATGAAATGAAATGAATTCAGGTCATGTAGTTAAAAAAAGAGGGGGAAGGTGTTATAGAGGGCTAACAGCAATAGCAGGGTTACCAGGTAATTAAAAAACCAAGAATACTTAGATGAACTAAATATTTTAATTTTAAATTATTAATAACAAATAACAGGTGTTATCTACAGATTATAGTTAGAGTATTATAACTTTATATTTATAAAGTTAATACGATCATCAGTGGCAATTAAAATTTGCAATCCCTTTCATGCTTTATTAGATAATTCATGCACACCATAATAGTTTATTAAAGTCTTACGTTTTTCTGATGTCATGTCAGTCTGAAACAAAGAACGAATGGGTTATAGAAACATAATGTTACAATGGAAACTATTATCCTGAATTATATCTAGATTATGATCTTTCATTTTATAAATGCACATGATAGTAACAGCTCAATTCTAAATATTCCCATTTAAAGAAGAACCAAACTGAATTCATTTTCTTCTTGATAAATATTCTTAGGATTACAGTTAAGTTAGTTACTTAGAGTGGTGGAATTAACGATGCATTTAAGTCATTAGTGACCATGAATTCCATTTACACACATAATGCTAACGGTTAATTTACTCCATTTATACTGTATGTTAAAAAGTGAGGGCACTAGCCATTGAATTGGACAGGGAGAGATTGTAAATAATACAGAAATGGAAAATGGGTTATGTTTAACCTGCACTTGGAAAGTATTTTGAGAAGTTAGTAGCAAAAGTAGGAACATATGATAAAGCTAGAAATAGTCCAAAAGTCTTATTTTAAGATTCAAAGCATTTATATTTATATTTTGCCATGTTTTACCAGAGAATTGGAGTCATCTATTTTATTAAATTATTTTTAAGTGTAGAATATTATATTTTTATATGATATTTATTCTTCTATATTTTTATTTATTGAATTTTCTTCTACAAATAACAGAATAACAGAGTTGGAAGGGACCTTGGAGGTCTTCTAGTCTAACCCCCTGCTCAGGCAAGAAACCATATACCATTTTAAACAAATGGTTGTCCAATCTCTTCGTAAAAATATCTAGTGTTGGAGCATTCACAACTTCTGGAGGCAAGTTGTTCCACTGATTAATTGTTTTAACTGTCAGGAAATTTCTCCTTACTTCTAGATTGCTTCTTTCCTTGATTAGTTTCCATCCTTTGCTTCTTGTCCTGCCCTCAGGAGAATAACTTGACTCTCTCTTCTTTGTGGCAACCTCTGAGATATTGGCACACTGCTATCATGTCACCTCTACTCCTTTTTTTTATTAAACTAGACATACCCAATTCCAGCAATGTTCTTTATATGTTTTAGCCTCCAGTCCCCTAATCATCTTTGTTGCTCTTCTCTGTACTCTTTCTAGAGTCTCAACATCTTTTTGTATCGTGGCGACCAAAACTGGATGTAGTATTCCAAAGGTGGTCTTACCAAGACATTATAAAACAGTATCAACATTTCACATGATCTTGATTCTATCTCTGTTAATGCAGCCTAGAACTGTGTTGGCTTTTTTGGCAGTTGCAGCACACTGCTGGCTCATATTTAAGTGATTGTCCACTAGGACTCCAAGATCCCTCTAACAATTACTACTATTGAGCCAGGTACCACCTATACTATACCTGTGCATTTAGTTTTTCTTGCCTAGAACCTTACTTTTTTCACCACTGAATTTCATTTTGTTAGATAGCGCTCAATGTTCAAGACTGTCAAGATCCTTCTGTATCTTAGACCTATCTTCTGGTGTGTTGGCTATTCCTGCAAGTGTCGCAAGATTGATGTTGCCTGCAAGTTTGAGGAGTTCCCCATCTATCCCCTCATCCAAATCATTGATGAAGATGTTGAAGAGTACTGAGTCTAAAACAGAACTTTGGGGTATGCAGTGCAGCAATAAGATTTTTCATGCATGATCTGTTTTCGACAAACCCATGTTGACTTTTGGTAATGACTTTGTTTGCCTCTAGGTGTTCGCTGATTTGTTGCTTGATTATCTTTTCCAGAATCTTCCCAGGTATTGAAGTCAAGTTGATAGGTCTGTAGTTTCCTGGATCTATTTTTTTCCTTTTTTGAAGATGGGAACTACATCAGCTCTATTCCAGTTCTCTGGTAGTTCCCCAGTGCTCCAGGATCTTTGAAAGATATAGTGCAGTGGTTATTAGATCATATCTGCCAGTTCCAGCAGAACCTTGGGGTGTAATCCATCTGGTCCTGGTGATCTGAACTCGTCTAGGGTGGACAGGTGCTCACTTAGCATTTTCTTGCCTATTTTAACTTGTATTTTTAATCTGTTTTTTATGTTACTGTTTTTGATAGGTTGGACCATTTTTCCTTTTGTGTAAAGATGGATGCAAAAAACGAGCTAAGCAGTTCTGCTTTCTCCCTGTTGTTTGTCACTTTCTTGCCACTTTCTCCCATTAATGGACCAATCATTTCCATGACTTTTTTTCTTGTTTTTTTACATGTTGAAAAAAACCTTTTTTTGTTATTTTTGACTTTTCGTTGGAAGCCTTAGTTTATTTTGAGCCTTAGCTTTCCTCACTTCATCTTTGCAGGCTCGGGCTATTTGCTGATATTCTGCCTTAGTTATGTGCCCCTCTTTCCACTTTTTATACTTGTCCTTTTTGTCTTTCATTTATCAGAAAGTTCTTTATGCAGCCTTGCTGGTTTCTTTTGAGAGCTGTTATCTTTCTTCTTCATTGGTATTGTGCTAGACTGGGCTTTTATAATCTCACTTTTCAAAGTTTCCCAAGCTTCTTGGGTTGTTTTCACCTTGAGAATTCTCATCCATGGAATCCTTCTCAGCTCTCTTAAGTTTATTGAAATTAGTTCTCTTAAAGTCCAAGACTCTAGTTTGACTTTGCTCTATTGCTTGTGCTTATATAATGTTAAATTCCAATATTGCATGATCAACCACCCCCAAGATTTTTGTAGCTTCAACTCTTCCTATCATTTCATATCTCTTAGTGAGAGTTCAATCCAATATGGCTGATCCCCTACTCCCTTCTCTACTTTTTAATTTAATAATTATTTTTGAATGTTCTATTTTTATTGATATACCTATTTATTTATATGCTCTTTATTGGTCAGCAACTGAAGATGTATTAATTAACTCATGATTTTATATTTACAGAGAATTATTTCCCATTACAATTTTGCCAATGCATTTTTTATTTTTTTACACTTTTGCTTTTAATAATTATCCATTGTCTGCATGTTTCTAGAAAAGCCTTATGAAGAAAACTATTTCATCAAAATAACTCAATAGGGAACAGTTTTTGCTTACTGCAATTTACGTCATTTTGCACTGTTGCAAGGGTAATTAAAATGGAGACAAATTACAATAGAATGACTCCAATTAACTGAACAACTCTACAATTGCAGTTATTTTTAGAAATTATAAAAGATTTTAAGAACTTGAGAAAAGACATCCTTTCTTTCTAATTACTGTTTACTTGCTTGACATTTATTCCTGGATAAAATTGCTAAAAGAACAAACTCATCTCAACTACAAGGATGTAAACAAAAAAATTAAATCAGCTGTAGGTTGAATTTTCATTATCCTTTGAGGACATCATTGATAAATATGTAGCTTTCACTTCAGAACCAGTGGAGTGGACTAAGTTGTTGTATACACTATGTTATTAAAGTAGCTTAGCTAATTTACAGGTATACATTTTATATACTTAGATAAATTACTATTGTATATGTGTCTTGTTCAATGGCAATATATATTGGTTCAAATTAGCAATTAACATTTACTGCTTATAAATATATTTCTTGAAAATATTTTCATCTCATTTTTCATACTCCAGAGTTATTTTTCTCTTTCAGTTAATCTCCCCTCTTTCCAAAACAAAAAATGTAATAGAATAAATATGGATTACAGGGAGTTTATAACTGAATTGATTGCAAAGGGCTTATGAAACCTGGTCAATATTTACATGAAATTAATTTGAGATGGTGTCAATACTGACCAATAGGCAATGAATTGATCATACTTGACATGCAGTCATTTGGCATTCAACTAACTGCTCTTTCCCAATTTGGAGCCTTATCATAGCAATTTTACACCAGAATTAGCAAAGTTACCTCTTCTTCCTGTTCTTGATCTGATTCTGATTCCTTTAATCCAATATGCCATGCAAGAAAAGAAAAACAGAGCAAGGAAAGATAGGATGCAATTAAAGGAAAAGTATGATTTCTGGACACATTTAATTGGTAAGAATACACAATGAATACAATTTTTGCACTTTCTCCTAAGAAGGAAAGAAAAGAGAATAGGAAAGTTGGTTCAGTTAAGAAAAGTGGAGATTCAAGTAAGTTCAAAGAAGAAAAGCTATTTTATGTTAGGATTTTGTTTGATTATTATGCATTAAACTTACAACACAGTTTCTCCAATATGCCAAAATTCAATCTGTGTAGAAAAATTTCTTAAATATATCTTCTTAAAGATAACAACAAGAAAATATAAGCATTAGCATAGATTTATTTTTATGTCACTAGTGAAGTTTCAAATGTAATGTTGCTATATTTGAATTACATTGAAAGTCAGAATACGTGCTTGTGGTATCTTATGCAATTTTCCTAATCATTTAACTAACTATATGAGTCATCTATGACCAAGACAATGCTGGAAAATAAAACAATTAGTTTGGGGCTGAGCAAGAAAGCTATAAAGTTTTATTTTTTTAAAAAAAATTGTTTAGCATTGCCCTGCTAATCGAGTGTACTATGTACGTAAATGCACACAAAAATGGCTTAATTATGATTTGAGTGAGTGATAACAATGTTGGTTGTTACCAATTATTGATAAATGTCGACTCATCCTAATCGGCCATTGCTTCCATATAGAGCTGTGCATTACCTGACTTTCAACACTCAAGGAAGCTAGAGAGCCTCTGACAGGAAAGAATGCTACATAATTTATACATCCCAAATATGTGATATTAAATAATAGATATTTATATAATGCTATTAAGAATTTGTGAAAACTACAAAACTACAGAACAAGTTTAGTGCATCTTAAATTACAGTGTACAAGTGTAATATACGAGCAGGTTGTATTTTAACTGGGGAGTACCTTTGTGTATACTGGTAATGTGATATTCAGATTGCAGATAGCTTGATGTACCAGACCTCTTGAAGATTTAGGCTCTTTCATAAATGATAGACGTCCACAAGGTTCTTGTGTTGTATCCCGAACCTATTGCAGAAAAATAGCAGGAGTTCAAACCCAAAACTCTGTGCACGTCAGTAAGGCACATATCTTTTTGAGGGCAGGATATGGACAATAGTGTATTGGCTTCCAAAGTAATATCTTAAGGAGAAATCCTAACTTGCAAGGAATATACCTGGGCTTTAGTTGTAATATGCTAGCAAAAAATGTGCCAGAAATATTCAGTACTTTCCTTACTCTTAGCAAGTATTATTGCATGTCACAGATAGAATGAGTGGTGGAAGGTCCATCTAATGACAACCATTACTGTGTTGTCATTTAGTGTGTCACTTACTGTGACTTAGAATGAAAAGGGTTAAAAGCATGTCTATGAATGAGAGTAGGCAGGATTAAATGCTATAGATCTGGTTGAAGATAGTCTGATCTTATTAAGTAGAATTGCTCCCCAAATTTTCATGCGCCTAAGACTGCAGGCCACAGTGCCCATATTACTGTATACAGATAACCCTGCAATTATTTCTTGTACACCTATTAAGCTTAAATGTGTAGTGAGAATATTTGTACATCACTGTATCAAAATCAGATCCAAACTCATGTTTTTTGCCAAAATCCTAAAACAGCAAACTTCTATAATTTACCAGAACAGGACTGAACAGATATACTGCTTTAAATATGTAGTAGTAGTTTTTCATGACAACAGACCCTCGAAAGTCTATCATGAATATATTCAGCAAGTCAAGTCAGGCTACATAAAGTTTACTCCAAATGATATGAACTGATATTTTTCATAATAAAGCTTTTTAAAGCTAAAACACTAATCTAAATATTTTATGCAGCTCAGGTTTACCTACATATGAAGAAAAATCCCCCCCACCAAATTAGAAACCAAGTTTTAAGATCATTATTTGCCGTACTATAGGTTACCCCAGCATTGTACTCGGGCTTGAATTGGAGATGCTCAATATTGGAAAAGAGCATGGGAGACGATGTGTGGCATGTTGGAAATATTTGGGCTTCCTTTTTCTGTAGAGTTGCTATTGCTAGTTTTAGCTGCTAATTATTTCTCTTTATGGACAAAGACAATAGAACAGAAATTAAGAATAACTATGAGGGTGTAGATTCCTTATTAATTTTGGACTATGCTCCAGTCAAAAAGCTAGTGTTAAAAATACTGAGCTACATCAAATAATGTCCAAAGTCAGTTAACTCTGTCAGAGTTTAGGATAAATGCTGGAGATAGGCTTCTGAGAACCATAAAGTATTTGCACACCCTAACTTCCTTTAGCTGAGGAAAGTATTTTTCAGGGCCAGGCAAATCCTCCCATCCACATTATCACATGATAGATATACCACCATTCTTCAACAAGGAATTTGATCAGTATGATGCCACACATCCTTTTTTTTCTGGTAAATTTTATAGGGATCTTCAAAAGGACAATCTCTTACTAACTGCACCTGGGAAAATGACTGATTTTTATGCCCACTTTTTATTTCCAGACTCATATCATGAAACTGCCTATATGGTAGCCAAAGGTAATGTTGCAGCTTTTAAAAAGAGGCAACGGTTAACTTCCAAGACAACCTGACAAAATTTGCTGTTTTATTTGGTAATTTGTACATCTGATCTTTGGAAATAAAATAATGCAACATTTGAAATTGAGTTGATAAATACCAAGTGGAGGTGTAGGTTTAATTATGAATCAAAAGATAAACTGGTGTTATCCAGCTTATTACAAGTAAGTTTGAGAATACAAATATATGGGTTGACAATGGTATGTCCAAAGAATCGTGATAATGAAAGAACTAGGGATGAAATCTGGAAAAATATTATGCAGTGCTAGGAATCAATGCAATTCAGAGGAATGTGGTGGGAACTCTGCTAGGTTCCACTAATGGCTGAATAGGAACAAGTCAAGAGACTCCAAAAAGTGATTGGGCCATTCATATATCTAAGAACAAAAGAGTATTATCTTTATCTGCTTAGAAAGAGTTATGTTTGTTTCAAAAAGACTTTAGAAAAGGATAGAAAATGTGGGACAGAATGTCAGGATTGGCTCTTGGGGGAAAATGTATATGCTAGAAAAGGAAAGAAATATGAGTGAATGTAAAAAGATTGCAGAAAAATAAAGTCTATGGTCTATGAAAGAATGTTAAAAGACAGATTAATTTCCTAACAGAATAAATAGAAAGTGGGTATGTGGGAAGAGGATTTGCAACTGCTTAGAACAAAATCAAAATAATCATATTACAAAGTGCCGAAATGTGTGTGGAATATTTACATGTTTGAGTTAGAGCAATATGTCAAACAATGGAAATTAATCAAATGTTAACTGAGAACCTTAGTGAGTGTATTATTCTGTATAGAGCAATATGGATGTGAAAATTATAGTATCAAAGACTAAGGCAGTTGAATATGATGGGAAAATTGAGTGAATAATTGCAAGTTATGTATACATGGCAAAAAACTAAAACAAGTAAGTGGCTTTGTATATGTTGATAGAATGCTAATCAGGACAGAAAATTATAAACTCTACAAATGCCGATAGTGAATAATATATAGTCTGTGGCAACAGTTGAATGTTTATTAAAAGAAGCAAAGAGTATAAGGATTGTTTCAGCCTACTTTGTTATATGAAAGTGAGCATTGGTTGTGCCACAAAAACCACAATAAACTGAACATATTGGAAATAAGATTCTTAAGAAGTCCATGTGGTAAAAATATGGCATACAGAATGTAGGGAAGTTGATTGAATGTGGACTGAATATAATAAATAACCAATAGAAACAAAATACATTAAGTTGGTCATAAAGGGATAATGACTGTGGATCAAACTGCAAAACAAATAGATGAAAGAAAAGTTAATTGTTCAAAAGGAACAGGGTATCGTTCTGAGACTGAAGAAGAAAACCTGGCTGACACATAGCTTGAAATGGGGAACACGTGCCCAGTTCAGATGCAGCCTACAGACTGCCAATTCAAAGAACAAGTTTCTAAAGGGGACAACAAATCTATAATAATATAAACCGGGTACAAATATACACAACATTCCTAAAATAAACCATACTATTCTTTCTACTCAAAGCCTGTGTAAATAAGAACATTACATTATTATGTCTTGTAGAAAGTACCAAAGCTTTTGCAGAACCCTAAAGAAATCAAAACTCAGAACAGATAACTAATTTTATATATAGGACATTATTTGTTAGCATCTAAATGGAATATATAGACAGTCTGCCTTTAAAAATGTAATTATCATGGTATTGGGGTTTTTTTTTGTCACTTACCTCCCCCTTCTCCTGAGGGTAAACAACATAAACCAACACACTATAACTTTATTACTGGTATTGAAATAAAATAAAACCAAACTCGATATACATATTTATATCAAAATTACCTTGACAAACAATGGAAGTCTGTTTTCTTTGAAGGCATAAAAACTGAATATGTGATGTTGGCCACTCTTTGTTAATGGTACTAAATTCCCAAAGCAGTCCACAAATATAGGTTTTCCTTCTAATACCTACATATAATTAATAAGAAAATAAAATGTTCATGAATTTTGTTCTTATATTTATTTTGGCTAAGTTAAAATATACTGTTAGCCTTTAAAAAAAAATCAACACTATTAATATAAAGAAAAAGGTTTCCCCTGTCCCAGTTGTGTCCAACTCTAGGGGGTGGTACTCATCTCTGTTTCTTAGCTGATGGAGCTACCCTTGTCCAAAGACACTTTTGTGGTCATGTGGCCAGCATGACTATATGCCAACATGCACAAAACGCTGTTACCTTTCCACCGAGGTGGTACCTATTTATCTACTCGCATTTGCATGCTTTCAAACTGCTACCTTAGCAGGAGCGGGACAAGTAACAAAAGCTCACCCTATTGCGATTACAAATAAACAGCAGCAGCAAAGTGGATTAACATGTCTGCAAGAGATTCTAAATATATACAAATACATTATTATTTCCAGACAATCAACATTTCTTAGTAATTAAATCAAAGAATATATATATGCAATATGCCTCAATCCAATGCAAAATGCTGAAACGTTTTAAGAGATTATTGTGTTTTTTTTCTTTCCTACATTTTTACACAGTTTGTCAATAAAATCTTAAACAGATATAAATATCAGAGCAAGGAAAAATTTATTTAAATTTGATTAAATCAAATGTAAACAAAGTACCATAAATTAAAAAAAAAATAGGGTTACCTCCTTGTTTTTAATTCATGAAACTGCTTTATAATGGGCAACAACCAAAGATCATAGTAAAACACAAAAGAAAAAAAGAAACTGTCAAAAAGACATAACTAAGATAAAATATTCAACTTCTGAGGGGTTCTACATGCAGTAGAATAGATTTTGCAACATTTGAAGAGATTCTGTTTCAGCAATAAATACTAAGGATAGACTGATAGGAACTTAATTAAAATGTGAAAGAATCTTTACAAAAATCACAGTATAAAAGTAAAAAGAAAATTTACTGATACATACTTCACATGAACAAAGATGGGATGCATATGGAATTCTCTTGTCCTTCAATACAGCTCTTGGAAACACATCAATTGCTAATTGATTACGCTCTTTAAACGTTAGCACTTGATTTCAGTGATTTGTTAGCTTGATACTATAAACCTGTTTTCTAAAATATGTCTCTTGGTAGGTAAGATCCTGCCACATCCGTATACTGCTGTTTTAAGAACAGATCAGTCTAATTAAAGCCAAACCTAATAGAGATTTTTGCAAGAAATTGTCATAAAGCAAGTTATGCTGCAATGGTTTTATGACATCTTATGACAAAATAGTCAGTCTTGTCAATAGATATAGTATTTAAAAAGTAATATACATCTTTAACCATAAAACAAAGATTCTTAACAATATTCTAGGCTCTATGGTAGTAATATTACATTCTCAGATTTTTCATATTATTACCATATAGTCAATAATTTTCCCCTTCCATTATATAGGAAAAGTGGGTAGGATTTTTAGAAAGATTCTTGGGTTTTGTATATTTTGTTCCAATAACTTATCCCATATCTTATCATGCTATTAATTGAGACACCTGTTTGTTTGTTTCTATTATAAGCATTAACCACCAAGGTTGCTATTAAAAAATAGCCAGTGGTTCCTATATCCTCTTTCTGTACTCTTATTTTGAAAGAACCAAAACAATATTTTAATGTATTTAATTGCAATGCTTATCATATCTATTTTTGAACTAACCCAAATCGTTATATAACTATGTATACGGACATTTAATTTGAAAATGCTGTTTTGCAATAAAGATCCATCATTTGGTTTCATTACACTTTTTCCATTTAACATTTATTGTTCTATTTATGTTTGCAGCATGTTTCATCTTAGAGCAAATTAAGCTACAGGATAGTGTCTTTTTTTGTAAAGAAAAGAACATAAATGAAAAATTTAATCCCTTCCACTATGCTGTGATTTTGAATTAATGGATTAAATATTCATATGCTTAATATTTTACCCAAGTTCTCTAAAATAATGAGATATTTTTCTCTTTGCCCTATTTTTTTAACTCATAATACAATGGAAACAACGTGTTTTAAACTAACATGTCCAAAAATATAAACACAAATAATACCTCTACATCCCTGCTTCGAGCAACTTCAGCAAAGTTTTCTTGTTGCTCTAGTGTTTTATCCACTTTATCATCAGTCATGCAGAAACATCTTAGTCGGGCTTCTATGGGATCTTGAGATTTGGCAAACACTACAAATTTGGCCATGTAAGGTACACATATAATTTCTCTATATACTTGGGAAGCAAATGCTACAGATTCTTGTATCTGTCGACAATCTATTAACCAAAATCTGAAAATAATCAAACATATTAAATTATTACCAAAAAAAATCTAGCAGGTGAGGAGAAAACAATAATAAATGTGATGAAACTTCTAAAACTCTAGGAACTAGCACTGATTTAAAATAACTGATGTAAAAGACAAATTCAAATATTTACTTAATAATTCAGATTTAACAGTAGTTGAACTGCCCCCTGGACTTTGATGTGAGGGATGGATTGAAACTAAAATGAATCTGAATGTATTGCTAATTTACCCAAGATTATAGAATGTCTTCACTGACCCTTGTACCTTAATTTAAACCAAAGTATGGACAAGCTTTGCCCCAATACATTATACCTTTGTTTTTACCATTCTATATCTTGCAATTATTTATTTGTTATTTATTTATTTATTAAATTGATATGCCACCCATCTTGCTATCCAAACCACTCTTTTGTTCCCCTCTTTCTGGAATCCTCATTACTATTCTAAGCAACAGACTGTTAAAAGAAAGACAAGGAGAAAATTCTTATCAGCATGCTCAATTTCTGAAATCAGGCCCACACTGTAATGCCTTAGAACAATGCCAACACCTTCAATCTATGGAATCCTAAGGGAACAGTTGTTTAGAATTTAGTCGTAGGAGCAGCTGCCAGAGAACAATAAGTTTACTTGCACTGTTGGCATAAGATTTATTTTATTTAGTATAGCATTCAGAGTTAATTATAATTTGATTTATCCCAGGATTAGATCAAAATTAAGGAAGGATCCTATTATAAATAGCATCTTTGCAATTTAGTAGGTGACTTATGGACAAGCTTCATATGCATAATACAGTGTCAGACTAAAGTTATGGTTCTGAAATGTTTTTTTATAGTTTTATTACTAGATACTGCTGTGTATGGTGGTACCTGGCAGACACGTTTGTGGTGAAGGAAACACATTCATTTACATATGTTAATGGTGTTGTTCCTGTTATGTCTTCCCACTGAGCAGGTGTTGTTCCACCTGAAACAAATAGGGAAAAACAGTAAGCATTTCTGAAAAATTGTAAAATTGGATGCATAAAATTCCTTTTAGTTAAATTTCCAGTTGTGCAAAGTCCGACCTAAGGGTATTCCTAGTTTTTTGTCATTAAATTGATTCTGAGTTCTGCCAGTATGACAGTTAAATGTTTAGTTTAGAAGACTAATATACATTATTATTCAAATCATAGGAGAAACTTGTGTCTTCATTCATAAGCAATTATAAAGTCTGTGATCTTTGGGATAAAAATAATTTTGACCAATACTTCAAAAGACTCTATTACGTCAGTACCCAACAGAATCAAGGATTTAATTTTAGGGTACAAAATGAAAAAAATAAAATACATGTGGTCCTCAATTATGATCACAATTGAGCCAAAATTTCTGTTGCTGAGTGAGACATTTGTTACGTGAGTTTTACTCCATTTTACAACTTTTCTTCCACAGTTGTTAAATGAATCGTTACAGTCGTTAAGTTAGTAACATGGTTGTTAAGTGAATCTGACTTCCCCATTGACTTTGCTTGTCAGAAGTCCTCAAAAGGTGATCACATGATCCCAGGACACTGCAACCGTCATAAATATAAGTCAGTTGCCAAGTGTCTGAATTCTGATCACCTGACCATGGAGATACTGCAATGGTCATACGTGTGAAAAATGGGCATAAGTCACTTTCTCAATGCTGTTGTAACCTTGAACAGTTACTAAGCAAACTACTGTTAAGTTAAGGACTATCTGTAGTAAATTCTTTACATTGATTCTGTGCTAAAATCTGCATTGCAAACTTAATTTCTTTTGTTTGCAAAAATAGCTTTGGATTTGTCCAAAATGCTATAGAGTATGTTTTAATTTTGTTTTTTGGGGTGATAGTTTTGAAATTATTTTGAATTATGGCTGGTAGAGACTGCTGCTTTTGTTTTATGTTACTTGTTATTTATATTATTTCATAGCTACTTTTCTCACCCACACTTCCTAATTGGAAAAATCCTAATGAGAGAATTTCCTTATTATTATTTCTCTGAGATTTAATTCAAGCATGAGAAGCTAAGGAGACTGTAGCTTTCTGGCTAGATGATAAAACAGAAAATATTGATCTCCTGCCCCCTTTGTTACTAACTGAAAAAAACCTCAACATTATATGACCAATATACTCTAAGACAAAAACTTTCTTTTTTATTTAAATGAATTAGAATTAATATGAAAATAACAGCTTATATATTTCGAACTCTATATTTAAACACTTCAACAGACAAGAAGAAAAGTAATGATTATATTTTAGAATAATTTTCAAAACAAGCTGATGCAGATATAACAGACTTCCTAAAATTGACATTGAGAAATCTCAGACCAGCAGAAATTTCCACATAACAAGTACCACTACCAAAGACCACTGAGTGGAATAATAGTAAGAGAATATACAATATGTCTCCACTTTGCTTTTTGTGACTCTTCAGAAAAACCTGTGGGGTTGGGAACCAAGCTGGACAATGATGCCGCTTGACCTGACCCAACAGTGACATTCTTCTAACAGAACAGAATAACAGTGTGTCAAACCGTCCTGTCCTGGCGCTTCACAAATCAGCCAGGAAGCGTCCGTGGTAATTTGAGACGCACTGTTGGAAGGGACCTTGGAGGTCTTCCAGTGTTGGAAGGGACCTTGGAGGTCTTCTAGCCCAATCCTCCCTGCTCAAGCAGGAAACACTATACCATTTAAGACAAATGGTTATCCAATCTCTTCTTAAATTTTACAATTCATCATTATACTTATATTCTGACAATTTAAAACTCTGAATAAATAGATCTGCCCTCTGTTTTACAAGGCAAATAAATTATTGATAAAGAGTCAATGACTCTTTCCATTGGACAGCTCCTATTCTTAAACTATCTATTCTAGTCACTGAGCATAATTTTAAAATAAACCAATACAGTTAAAATGGCAATTCATTGGTTATTTTAATGATAGTATTCATTATTTGGTTAGACAATTTGTATTTTCACTATAAACCAATGCTCTTAACTATGATCTATGGAAGACAGTTTACATAATTTTGTAACAGAGCTTTAATGAAAATTTTAATGACCTAAACCAACAGTCCCCAACCTTTCTGGCTCTGCGGACCAGTGTTGATGATTCACCTGATTCCCAACAGGCCGCAGTCCAGCACTGGGTCATGGACCGGGTGTTGGAGACCCCTGACCCAAACCAACAATCAGCATCATGCATGAAATTTCAGAGATATATGAGAGCTTACCTGTTATGCTGCATAGTAGTCTTAGAGTAGGAGTCTCACCTCCATAACCATTTATCATCATATCACTGGAAGCTTTCGGAACAGGAATGGTCATAGTTATTGGCTTATGGAATTTTCTTCGCCTAGGTTCCAATGTGACAATAGGGCTGAATGTGGCTTTATTGCCTAAAATTTTCTTTATAAGTTCACTGTGCATAGGTTGGGCCTATTCAAAGACAATGAGAAAATAAAATTTATCTTAATTAAAATTGCTTGAATAATGATTAACTACAATAATACACTTTGTTCTATGTGGTGATGATTTCTCTTGATTTGCTACTAACTGATGTCTTCTGCTAATACTCTCTCCCTTACTGGTTGGCCATGGGCTATTGGTAATAATTATCATTTAACAAAGCTCCGAGGTATTATGATTTCACAGAATTCTCAAGAAAAGAGAATTATGACAATTCTCTGAAAAATCTTTAAATCCATTTGAATTATGATGGGATAAATTCACTTATCTCTAGCCATTAGGTAAGTACAAACTGAATATCTTCATGTTCTTATAGTCCTTTTATATTTTGTATATAGAATTCTTTCAGTGAAAAGTTTAATTCTTTTGGATTATTTGTGAATTAAACTAGACTTACAGCATGCTAATCATAAATTTGATAAAAGACAAAACTAGGAGAAATGCAACTAAGTTCAATCAACTCAGCTCATAATTCAATCCTACACTCAGAAGTCTTGTAAGTTTAATGAGACTCAACCCACAAAAAATGGGAAATTTAGTAGCCTAAATATTTTAAAAAGGAGACACATAGCTTTTATATATTACATGTACATGCATGCACAGATACATACATTATATATATGGCCATTAGTTTTAAACATCTGCTGTAAATTCGTAATAACTTTCCCTGAGAGATTTTTTTTTCTTATACAACAATAAATACATTACTGTTTGTTGTACATCTTGGCTATAAAATGTAGATGATTGTCACCAGTCCTTCTCCTTAGATCTTCTCACTAAATTTTGAATATATGACTTATTAAAAGTTATTACTGAAGTTGAACCTATGCTTTAGTATTCTCTGTTTTGTTTTTGTTCTAATTTCAGTATAGCACTAAAGCTTAGAAAATATTACAAAAAGGGGCACAATAGCAAAAGAGGAGGACTGAAAAAATCCAGAGAGTTACTAGACCAGTGGTGGCGAACCTATGGCATGGGTGCCAGAGGCGGCACTCAGAGCCCTCTCTGTGGGCACATGCACCGTCACCCCAGTCCTAGGCCTTCAGCTGGGTTTTATAAAACCTTTTCGCTTTAGGCCTCCACCTCCGTGTGCAAAAAAAAAAGTTTCAATCAGTCAATTCAACTTCTCGCGGGAAAAAAAAATCTTGCAAAGATGGAATTGATTGATTGAACTTTTTAGTCCCACCCAGTCTGCCGTTACCACCGCAGCCACGCCCAGCCAATGGGCCACACCCACCCGGCACCCTACGATGCACAAGTGGGTTTTGGGTTGCAGTTTGGGCACTCGGTCTCTAAAAGGTTTGCCATCACTGTACTAGATGGCAGCAAATAAATTTCTGGGTATTTAATCTAGATTTTTGCCACCATGACCTGGTAGCTGTAAAAATAATTAGTAATTGCACAATAATTTTAAGAAAGTGTTTTTATGTCTTTAGCATGTATGAATACATTTTTCACATTTAAAAAACCTCAAAGAATTTTTTTATAAATGGCACTACATAAGCATTACTGTTTGTGTGCTATGAGGAAAAAGGAAGTTTCAAAAGTAATATTCTTTCACAAGGCCCTGAAGACTTGGTTTTGCCAACGGACCTTGGGAACCCAGAGTAGGATAGAGCCCAAGAAGTAGCTTATTTGATTGTTGTCGCTGGGAGGTGGATAGTTATTGCTTTAACTCTTTGTATGTTGGTTTTTTTTAAAAAAAAATGTGAGTCACTGAAACTTGAGTGCGTGGCAATATAAATTCTCTAAATAAACAAATAAACAAATAAATCTGGCAAGAACTATTTTACCTGCCTCTTAAAGAGGACTCTTTATTTAAATAAATGTTTTGAATGCATTATCAGTTTTACATATAATTATGAAGAAATTTGGTTCACAGGTTTGCTACAAATTTTGGATATATAACTTAGTTAATACTTTACACATTATAATGGGGCCAGTTTCCTCCAGTGCTACTGGAATTCAGGAGACATAAAATGCAAAAAAAGAAAAAATACCATAGAGCAGGGGTCTTCAAATGTGGCCCTTTTATGACTTGAGGACTTCAGGCACGCTGGCTGAGGAATTCTGGGAGTTGAAGTCCAAAAGTCATAAAAGGGCCAAGTTTGAAGACCCCTGCCACAGAGGAATGATAATGAAATAGAATTACAGGAAACTACTCTTATCCTCAACAGAAATATTGGCTTCACCGATTATAATATTTTGATTTGTTTTCTCATACCTGAAGACCAACACGAATTCTCTTAGTTAATGCTCCCTCTGGAAAGACTGCTTGCACTTGTGGTACTACAGTACTGCTTAGTACACCACCCTCAGGTCCAATGAGGTTACTGTCTTGTTTAATCCGGGACACCACTGCAAAGTACTGTGGGAAATCTCGGGTGATAATACGGCAAATACGCTTCTTCTCCAGCTCTTCTGGGGTGTCAAGCACTGGGTGAAAAGAGCAAACATTACTTCAAATAGTAAACACTGGAATTGTTAAGAGAAAATCTTTATATTTATACACTTAATGCAGGGGTGGGGAACAATGGCCTTTTATGACTTGTGGACTTCTGGAGTTGAATTCCTAAGCCAGCCATGCTCAGGAATTCTGGGAGTTGAAGTCCACAAGTCATAAAGGGGACATCGTTCCATACCCCTGTATTAATGTATGGATTTCTTAATGCTTCAAAAAATATTTTAACATGAATGAGACCTCCTTCAGATAACCTAATTTCTAGGCATTTTTTTTTCTTTTCAGGATCACACAGAAGCTAGAAAAGTATGTTCTAGTGAACAGCAGATAGATGCTGTATTCTTCTGAGGTCAAAGTGCCTTTCCCAGATAATTTTCAAAGCTTGCACAGTCCTAATATACATTTACACACCTTTTTGCTAATTGTACTTCTAATCCTAAGAGGTGGAGCCAGAATAACTTTCTTAAAATTTGCTCTGAGTAGATTCAGGATTTGAATTTCACATTAAGAGAACAATTCATTAATTGCAGCTTACACACAGTTATAACAGTTCCCTTTAAAAGCTGATTATGGATGATCCCATCCATATATTCAGGATCATATTGGGTTTATTATTGGATCTGTACTGATGCATATCAAGCATCACATAATGAGCAGCAAAACATCTCAAATTTTGGGGAGGAAACACCTGAGGCAGGAGTTGGTACATTCTATGACTCTCTGCCTAAATGACTTGTTCTGACTAATGAAGCTGCTTGGATGAGCAGCAAAATGTCTCAAAATAATAATAAGAATTAGTCCAGTTGCAATGTCCCAAGCTTCAAACAATTCTACCTAGATTACTGAGAATCCTCATTGATACAACATATATGTTTAGAGGAGCTTGGTATGGTATACAATGTGAATTTCATCACAGATTTCATATTTGCTTTCTTACATTGCTTTAACATGTAGTAATACAAATTTTATCAAAATAGTTTTATATAAAACACTAGTTTAAAATATGTTAACTAAACTACCCATAGTACACAATCCATGTTACTCCTAAATTACAATTTATAATGGATAAATGCTCCATGTTCCATGCTCCATTTACTGACAATTAGACTTCAGCACTCTGTACCTGGCTGACTTGATAAAGCAAACAGGAACAGATCTTGGGAACAATAAGATTGGAGACTATTAGGCTATCCCTGCAGTGGGAAATCAAAATCATCCCCAAGAAGTAAGATTATGTAGTGTAGAAAACTACATGAATACATTTATGAGTCACTAGACCACCTGCGCCCCATTGGGTCATTGTTTTAGAGTTATTTCTTGATCAGATTTTCAATGCACTCAACAATGCCAGAACTTCTAATGTACTTGAAAAATTCTTAAAAATTTAGTAAGGTATTCAGAGATGTACCTTCCTTGAAAGCAGCCCATGTTGAACACAAATGTTTTATATGATTTTTATTTATAACATTTGCCAAATTTCAATTTCACAGAAGTCCTGTGTCCCAGAATTTGGATGCATTCTGTAAGTTAGCTCATTAAAGGTAATTCGTTTGAAAAAGTTTTGCTCTATGATGCACCATTTCATCCAATTACAGACATGAGATGTTTAGTAGATAAGAAACTTCAGTATTGGAATTTGTTTTATATTGCATTTTGCTCTTTCTGAAAATCTGTTAACATTTACTATATAAGTATTTTCATTATTTTAAGTGCATAAGTAATTTACTTATAAGGCAAATTAGAATTGCTATTTCTTCCAGCTAAGTAAGCATAGGATTTCTACTTTGATTTCTTTTTATTGTAGCTTTAAGATCTTGTTTATAAAAACATGTACCTTCATCCATTCCATTTAGTATTTCATTTAACTCATCTTCTGTAAATTCACAGAAATGTTCTTTCCAGTTGTCCCCATTCTCACTACGCAAAATCACCAGCTCTCTTTCTTTACCACGTAATGCCGCAAAGTGAGGGATTTCAACAATCACAGGCCTATTACAGCAACAAATTACGTTAAAAGATTGTGACAATAGAGAAACAAACAGATAGTTTTGTTTAAAGCCTGTAACAAAAAGACCTGGAACTCTACCAGCTTCTTTATTATTCCTTGCTATGATTGTGAAAAAAAGCATACTACAGCAATAGTACCTTCATACTGTAGCCAAGGATTATGATCAGCAAGCGTCCAGTTTTATTCTATATAAATAGAACCTTGCCAAAGAAACAGATATGAGTATTTTTTTTGTTTTTAAACACTGATAAAATCCATGAAATTGAAAGTTATTTTGAAATATGGAACTGTATGCAGGAATCCTTATAAAGAATGTTCTGTGTGTAAATGTTAAAGAAAAATTATGTTTTATAATACAGACAGTCCTCCACTTATGATCATAATTGAGCCCAAAATTTCTGTTGCTAAGCGAGACAGTTGTTAAGTGAGTTTTGCCCCATTTTACAACCTTTCTTGTCACAGTTGTTACATTAGTAACATGGTTGTTAAGACAATCTGGCTTCCCCATTGACTTTGCTTGTCAGAAGGTCACAAAAGGTGATCATATGACCCCAGGACACTGCAGCCGTCATAAATATAAACCAGTTGCCAAGCATCTGAATTTTGATGCTGCAATGGTCATAAGTGTGACAAACTTTTTTCAGTGCCGTTGTAACTTCAAATGGTCACTAAACAAATGGTTGTAAGACGAGGACTATCTGTAGAGGATAAAAGAAACCACTTTAGGCAACAGGATATTTTTGTCCTTTATTTGCATTGATTTTAACTGGCTCTTTATTTTCATTCACATTTTCAAAACTTTTTTTAATATGGTGAATATATTGAAATAATTCATTTCAGATTATTTTATAAATGCAAAGGTTTATAAATGTTTATTATGCATATCTCTAATTCATCGTCTTAAAACACGCTTTCTACTTTTCTAAACTCTGTAAATACATTGTTATTTTAATAATTTCACAAGAAGAATTGAATTATGTACTGCTATATTTATTGATCATGCTAAATGTTATGTTATATCTAATATATAAGGTATCATACTGGGGACTATGGTAGCAAAATAATAATAGTAATAATGCAACAGATTCCTTTGCTTTCAGTCCAGGTTGCTTTGCTACAGACATCAAGCACATAACAGCAGAAGTGACTGGTACATTCTATAACTAATATTTTCTCATGCTAAATCAAAGGTGAGGTCAAGGAACTTTAAGAAAAAGTAGAAACATATCACCAAAACAACAACCACATATCACAAAGGCTAGAAATGGTCCACTAAAGGTTAGGAATACATACTATAAAATCATAGAAAGGACAATGTCATGGGCACAAGGACATAAAAAATAATATTGCAGAAGGAGAAGAATGGGAAGGCCGGCATCCATCAATTTGTTTTAAGTCTCTCCTACCCAAGAAATTTGGTCCCTGGAGGCCCCAGCTGTAGGATTCGGCTGACCAAACTTTCTCCCTCATTAAGTGGGGGAGGAGCCGTAGGCAGGTGAAGTTTACTGAGTACATCCAAAGCAGCAGTGAAAGAAAGAAATAAAAAAAAATACCTTTATGTACTTTTTTTTTTTAACCGAACCCCAGTGCCACTGTCTGCTCAGAGTGGAATTAGGCTTACACTGAACAGGTTTCTGCCTTTCTTCGTTTGTTTAAAAATGACCCTCTTATCACAGCAATTCAAGAAATCAGTCTCCCATAATAGAGAAACTTATGGTTTATAGGTAGGTCCTATGATACATTAGCATCACTTCTTGATATTAACGGGAGCCACTCAGAAATGATGAAAAAATGCATGACAATATGGCAACAAGATTTGGTTTGGCTAGAAGTGTTCAGTGTCTCTGATTTCACTGCCAGGACACCACCCAGGAAAATGACATGGTATAGGATATGGACTTTAAGAAATTATTTGAAAACTTTTCAATATATGCCAGTTTTCATAGACAATCCTCACAAGACCGAAAAAATAAAATAATCTTGGTCATTTTTAAATTGGAATTAACATAGGAACCTAAAGTACATGATGTGCATAGGAACTTGATTTGGATTTGGTGCATTTTTTATTTAAACCTGTATGTAGTTTTGAATGGAGCTTCATTGAAATTCTAGCAGCAATCGTTCATTACTCATTGATTAAATTTAGGGATATTCTCATTTCCTTGCTAAAATACAGCAATAACAAAATAATAACTTGATAGGAGATAGATGCTTTGCCTAGTTATAATACATATTAGATTCCCTCTAAAAACCCCAACCTCTAAAACAAGATATTATTAGAAGACAACTCAGACTTAAAACTTGGTTAACGGCCTTAGATATGTCTAATTTGCTTCATAACAGATTTAAACTGTTCCTTTTACACCTTCATCCTTTGGTTTCCAGCAGAAGCCATTCATTCATTCTAAGCAGAGGGGGGGGGTCTTTTGATCATCCACTTTTGGATGCCACCACTGATAAGGGGAAAATGTCGGTAAAATAAAAGTATTGAAAAGGATAGTTTCAGCAAAAACAAATAACAGAAGGAAAACAAAGACAAAAATTGCTGAAACATTTGCAGCAAGTTTGATCTTTCTGTGAGGCCTTGCAATATAAGGATAAAATGCAGTCAGAGAAGTGGTTCTATTGCTTGGTCCCAGAAAAATCACTGGTTTCTGCTTCCCAGGAGGTCTCAATTACTGACAAAATACCTACTGAGAGAACACAAGTTCCTTGTAAAGGGAGCATTAGCTTGTGTTGCATTTTTCAACAGGTATTAACATTTATATTGACAACATTTCTGCTGCTATTTTTATTTAACCTTAAAAGAGAATAATTAACTGATGTATTATAACAAAATGGGTTTTCTTTTACAGCTCAGCATGGCTTACACCAGTTGATTTCAGGAAGCGCAGTAAACCTGACTTGTTGCTTTAAATTAAAAGGTACACAAGCTGATTGAATTATCAGATCCTTTCTGTGCACTGCAAATCTTTTCACTTCTACTGTTAAAATGCCAAACCACCCCACACTGGATCAAGTGAAATTATTATTTCCTTATTAATTAGTATTTGGGATTACTAAAGGAAAATCCTTACCCAAGAAATTGAGCACCAGAAGGCCCAACTTCAATAAGGCGACTGGCAAGACCATCTCCTTCCACCATTGGAGGCATTGTGGCGAGTCTATGGCGTTTGACCAACCGGCAAGTAACTCGAGTTGGAGCAGTGCATTTCCGAGGTGGAATAATGATTCGAAGCCCATTGTGTCTGCAACCCCGCATAGCACCACCTCGAGCATCAACCATAAAACTGACCAGAAAACTGAAAATTGGGAAGAAAAATTAGGCATGAAAATGAGTTATAATGTATGTTACAAAAATATTTCAGAAGCAACATATTTTAAATATGTGTACTAATCATTCTTAGTAATCAAAATTAATAATATTTATGTATATTATGTACCTATAGTTAAGCTGTAGTTAGAGCTTTTAATTAATTGCACAGATAAAAAACTCAGAAATATTTTTATTACTTTTAGGGAGTCAAACCAATTAGCAGAATACTAACAAAAACTCAGTTGATTAATTTATACAAGTTGTCCTGGGTACTACATAGAGTGTTGCGGTAACATCCAGCTCTATAACTTATGCTAATAATGTTGATTAGAATATTGTGTATAATATAAGAATACAATAAAATTATTAACACAAAAGAAAAAATGAAAAATGGGTAGCAGTTTTCTCAGTGTCAACTTTTGTAAATGTTCTATCCTAGCAAGGAGTAAAATCTCTAGGATGTTATAAGATGTTGGAATTCTACCCATATAAGAAACCTGTTATTTGTCATCTGAAGTTTAAATGTAATAACAATAATAAATGAATTTGACAACTAGCAAAATATAATGTAAAATGTATAGAAATATGGCCATGTGTGCGGTGGACATTTTTCATTGGTATCTTCTTGCAATTCTGTCCCCTAAGGTAAAACTAATAGATAATATAAATATTTTGTATGAAAAACACATTCTGAATTTATTTCTTTTAAAGCATCTACTACATTTTGATTTTTTTCCAAGTCAATATAACATGCAAAATATAAATAAGCAAATCAATGTGGATGAAGATGAAGAACCATGATCTGCCATCTTGAAACATGCCATGCATCCTAAGTCTTCCCTATCTCTCGTCTCCAGGGATGTCTGTACCTTTACCCCAAAGCGTTGTTGTTATTGTTGTTGAGGACAATAACAGTAAAAAAAATTAGCAGTTACAATGCTCCATGTTTACAGCTACAGTGTCAACCACACTTTCTAATTTATGGTTATCATGTAGCTATAACTATACAAGAGTTATCCTGCCCAAAGGAAAGTGGGGAGTTGCCAATTCTAGATCTTACCAAATGCAATCAGGAATCCAGGAAGGGCATTTTATTTCAGGTTTCAAAGAGAAATGGACTGTAGACAAACAGTTGGTAGTTTTGTAGTATAAAATTGCACAGAGAACAAACAACACAAAGTTATGGAAGAGTGCATGCATTGGTGGTTTCAGCAAGGAAATAATATATTTGCTAAAAAAAAGTGTTATTGTTTAAGGGTTTTGTACTTTGTGGGGCTGGAAAGTAAGTCCCATTTTGACTAATGAAACTTAATTTCTAATAAATTTGCTTGGGATTTCCGTGTTTATTTTTAAATGTGCATCGATTATCTTTTCCTAACAGTCAAAAGTTATATAACTGTATGTCCTAGGCCTGTATCAAAATTGCATATAGTCAAATCCTTGATTTAGTAATTCTTAAACCTTTCTAAATAATTCTAATAAATATTATCTGACAATTACAGGATGAAAATAAATGATGCACTTGTCCCAAATATCTACCCCTATCTTTTATACTCCACTGATCCCCCAGTAAATAAAATAATGTTCAAATATTCCAACATTTTTGTTAAATCTCAAAATCTCCTGAGATTCTGCTTGAAAATATCAAATCTTATACAAATCCACTAAAAAATGACAAAGTTTCAAGTTTCAGATTAATTGTCATTGCCGAGTATATTATAATATCCAAAGTCTGGAAAAAACTGCCCATAAATAGTTCAATTCAATAGTTATTGGAAGAGGACTCCGTGTCTGTCCGTGTGTTTTGTTTTTTAGCAGAACATTTTCTTTGCCATGAGACGAAAAGGCCTTTTTTCATGCTATACAAATATATTATTAACATCCTAAAAGAATAAATCAGCAGGATGCTTCAGAATCTAAGGGAAAACATATCCTGTATTCCCCATTTTTGTAGCGAGTATTCAAACACTCTTAAAAACTATACTCTTAGATCAAGAGAAAATGCTTAAATTTCACTATTTCTGGCTCATAGTCTAGATATAAGAGACTATTTCTTTGGATGTACATATTTTCATTTGTCTTCTTAATTCATTTAAGTTGCTCATATTAAAAAAAACAAATGATAAGATTATTCTAGGCAGAATAATTCTGATAAAAACACACACTTTACATAAATTTCACACTTTCGGATAAAGCAGAAAAGATAATATTCTTTTTTTTAAAAAGTATCAATAATTTGAGATTGTTCCAGGAAATTTCAATTATAAACCTACAAAACATGGTCTTTTTTAAAAAAAATAAAGTATCTCATTATATACCCCAAAGTGCCTATACAATTAAACATTTAATTTAAATTACTATCTTTCTCCCACAAAATAGCTTTCTGGGAAGAATAAAACTCTGCACAGCTGTGCTTACAAAAGATATTTGAGAAGGATGTGACATATGGAAAATTACAAAAAAGATTTATATTAATAAATATAAATTAGATGCTTTAGATGTCTAAATATGATTTTCATGCAACCAGAGTCAACAGCCACAGCCAATTAACTGTGGATGCGTATTTTTTTTACTGGGAGAGATGGGAATAAAACACTCTATGCATAATGAGCTCAGGTACAATAGTTAGTCAGACAAGTAGACATGCTCGTCACCATAAAGATGGAAAGGACAATTCTTTCTGGAGTATTTCCACAATACCCCCCCATACCAGAATTGTATTGTATTGACTATGTCAGGCAGGGGAAAAAAGGAAGGGGCAGCAACCAGTTAGTCAAGAGTGTAAAATAACTAGAGCATTTCTCAAACATGTAAATAGTAATAATAATAAGGTCAAACAGGGGATTCTGCATTTTAAAATGAAATGAAATGAAAAGATCATTAAAGTGCCCAATTAAAACCTAATGAGAGCAGTTTTAAAAAATGAATATAATTCAAATTGTTTGTTAATAGTAAAGCCAGGTTTCCAGCTTATAAATATGTATTCTCTGTATAGTCACATTTACTTTTACGTAAGTCAGATTTTAAAAGTTTTTACTAAACTTACTAGATATGTTAGAGCTTTTGGAAGAAAAGCTAAAGTAGGGCTGCTAGTTTCACATGAACTTTTTATTGAATGAATATTTAACTGAAGGTCTAATTTTCTTCCTTCAGAAATGTTTCAAAACAAATATATTTTAAAAACAAAGTTAATTACTTTAAATTGCCAAATTCCAGTAGCCACAATTCTTGTGCAGTGCAGATATAAAAACTAAAAAGAGTGCATTTTGGTCCTTTGGAAGGCTTCCTACAGGAGTATTAGTCGATAATTGTATTGCTATTCGATGAAATTAAATCTTAGCTCAAGTGGTAAAATGAAGAGGATCAGTCTCCTACACTAAATAATAAATGAGATCAAGGAAGCAGAACATCTGAAAGTGAGTAAATTAAACGGATGGTAGAAGAAAGAAGGGAAAAGGAAGTTAGCATTAACATGAAATTATATATGTTCACCTGCTGTTTTCATTGTCAAAATATGGAGAGGTGTGGCTGCAACAGAAGAGACAATTTAGCAAAACAAAATAAAAAAGAATGAATGAATGAATGAACAAATGAAATAAAATCAGTCAGAAAAGATATCTATCTACAAATGGAGAAGATGAAAACATTAAACATACAATATGAAGAGCATATGCAGTAGCGAAGATGAAAGATACATTCCTTTGTAACGTCTTTTAAATGGTACTCTTATCCCTAAAATCATCTAAAATCATCTAAATGTGGAACATTTGTTATGAATGTTCTAGGAAGTCCATAGATGTCAAGGATCTTCTTGCTAGCCATATTTATTGTGGACATGTTTCAGTCCACTTTTCTGGCATGCATGCATGTATGGATGTATGTATATAGTTATAGAGCTTTTATGATAATCACCATTATACAGCTGAACAATAATCATTTGCCTCCATGTGATAAGCCAACAATGTTTTAATTAATCATGATATGTCTTGCTAAACTGTTCTGCATTAAAAAAAATTAAAAAAAGAACAAATCACAACTTTGCAGCAGCAAATTGTAAAGACCTTAACACTGACTGCACAGATATTGTGTGACTGCTAAAAAGTCAAAGTTCAATTAAGTTCAATTAAAGTTACCTCTAGGTAATTATATATGCTTGCAACTTCTCAACTTATGTCAGTGGATATTAGTGAAAGTGGATTTAAAAAATTACCTTCAATCTTACATCCCTTTTTATTTTTTTTTCAAAAATCTGCTCACTAGTATTTAATTGCACATATCAGTTCCTTTTCAGGTTATGCTGAGCTGAAAATATTTTGCATTTATTTTTCCAAGTGTTTTTTCTCCATAATTTTTAGCTCAAATGCTATCACTATTTCCCTAATCATTTTCATTCTAGGTTTATTGCAATATATGATTTTCCTGTTCGTAGAAAAGAGGAACAAAATTTTCGTTTCTTTCTTCATGGTGCTGATCTAAAATTAACAAATATGTCATATATACTTTGTGCACTTATCTGACAATACTAACTTTAAAAAAGAGTTTCAGAAACTTTATAAGTATATTACCACTTTTTAAATTTATTCAATTTAATTTTTTTTTTAAATAAAGCTTGGTTTCTAGCTGCTAGGTCCTGTTTCTTATCAATCTTTGTGAAGATACTATATTAGGTAAAAGCAAGAAATATCATTTACCTTGTTAGCAATGATCCAATATCCTTTTTGGAAGACAGGCAGCTAAGAATAACAACTCTAATTATTTGTCAATTTTAAGTACTAGTCCCCTCCATATACCTCCCACCAAAAAAGAAAAAAGAAAGAAAAAAGAATCAAAATTTGAAAATTCTCTAAGAAAGTAATTCTAGAGCTAGTTTTTCTACAACTAAATATATTCATAAAAAGTATACACTATTTGAAATTTACTGTTACAATAACTGCTATAGATCCAATTTTGTAGCATACACACACACACACACACACACACACACACACATCTGTGTTGTTACAAAATTGAATTAGGATCACTCAATCCAGAATCTTCTTGCCAAAAAGAAGAACTGACCAGGAATATCTGCATAATAGAGACTGTGCACATATCTTCATGTATATGCACAAATTGCATAGACAAAGCCGATGCATAAACAGCTTGTTATAAACTACAGAGACTACAATTCCAAAAAGTGGAAGACAATACTATAGAAGCAATTCCAGTCTATCTCTAATATACTAATATACTAATTTTACAATTTCAATATACTTGAATATAAGATTTCTTTGATCCAGTATTTTTTTCTAAATATAAAGAATACTATAAGAATGCTGCTTAAATACTTGGAAAATGTTCTTCTCCCATAGAAGTAACTAACTTAAGACAGCATTGAATTTTTAACTGAATATATAAATCAATTGAATACATTGAATTTATATTCATATTTCCTATTCCATATCCCTCAAAAGATTTCTATACAACTTTTCCAGTAAGTTAACATTAAATATGCATAGAAAAGACTTGCTAGACTGGCTACTGTCTACAGTCATGCTGTTCTAAGAGAAAACTTACAGCTGTAAGCCAAGAAACAGTTCACATTCAGCATAATATGTCAGTAATGCTTTTGCCCCTAAACTTTGCTGCCAATCATTTCAAAGCAGGCATTTGTCTAAATTGATTATAAGTGCACAGCTGTTAACAAAATGTGCAAAAGATCAACCTGGAATTGCTAATCTAAACAATGTAAATGAAATTTTTTTTCCCCAAATTGCAATATTTAGGTGAACCTGAAGATTTCTTACAAGTTTGTTTAAAAGGCCATTAAGATTATTTGTCTCTCACAATCCCCTACCGCCAATATTATGAAAACTTATCATTAATTTACATGTTTTATCACACACAATTCATGAAAATGTTTTTTTCTTTTTATTTTAAATATATCTTTTAACTTTTTTGTGTTTAAATCTCATTTCAAAAGTTGGCGTTGTGATACTTACACTAAACCCAATAAGAATGGTTTCATTTTCACTTCATTAAAGAGCAGTTTCATATCCACACAGATACAGGTTATAAAATTGCTTTATCTGCTGAAGTTTTGGTTTCAAGAATTTTTGAATTAGAACCATACATTTTTAACCATTTCCTTTCTGCTCCTATTCACTTTGCTTCACTGACCCTGCACCTTATCAAGGTACCTGTCCATGTCTACACATCAGTACTATGCACAGTAGGGGTCCTACGGATGAAGTTAATTGGAACAACTTTCTTGTCAAATAAAAGCTTATATCTGAAACGTTTTATCACGTAGGATCCCTCTAGATAAGTATGACACAGATGAAACCTGTGTCATACAAATCCACTGAGTTTAGTTCACAGTTTTTTTGCATGAAGATGTCTTAAAGCAGAGGTCTCCAACTTTTCTGCCTTTGCAACTGGCGAGCAGGAGAGAGAAAATGGATCAGTGGAAGCAGCGGGCATGCACACTCATCCACGCAGCTCAGCTTCGGCAAGAGGTGGGTGCGTGTGCCTGCTGCTTGCGCTAATGGTGCTTCCTGTGCAACTGCAAGCACCCGTCACTTGCACAAATGGAGCTGCGCCGGTTCATGGGCCACTTGCATAGCCCAGTTCCAAATGAGCTGTGGGCTAGTATCGGACCGTAGCCTGGGGGTTAAGGACTCCTATTTTAAGGAATTATCTCATGGTTCTCTGTGTTGAAACTTAAATTTAAAAATTGATCTGATCAAACCTGGTAGAATAATTAATACCACATCTTCAAGTATTACAGCAAAAGAACCAGAAAACTGGATACCATTTATTAGCTAACATAAAACTACCATTCCTATTGACAATTTAACTCCAAATATTTTCATTATTTATAAGTTGTGAAAAATAATCTATCACAATACCAATACCAAATACTTTCAGAAGTTCATAACAATATTTAGAAGTTTGATGTCTACCTTATTGTATGTTCAAATTATTGATTTAAATCAATTTCAAATAGGTTTAAATGGGATGATCATAAGAAATAATGTTTTGTAACCATAAAGCCATTAGGATAATCAAGAATGACTTTTCAACAATTTTAAAAATATCATGAGAAACATGACTGAAATCTAAAATATGGTTGAAGATTAAGATTATTATTTTTCATTAATGAAATAAATTAATAAAAGATACATCAAAAGAAATTAGTTCTGATTACTTACCCAGAATGAATAGGGCTAGCAGAAAGCGTTATGTTGTCCAGATTATCGGGACTCCAACTTAAACGATATGAATTTCTCTCACCTTCTTTAGTTAATGCGGATATCTGAAAAAGCAGAGAAAAATGTTTCCTTTTTTTCTTTGCATTGTCTCTAATCAATCCATTAAAATTTTTCTATGTTTGGATAAAATATATTATTTTAGATTAATAAAACTCATGAGATAGGAAAAAACAATGTTTTAATTGCATTGACTGATTACAATAACCCTAGGGTAACAATATAATCCCATTCATGACTACTTAGACCAGGGGTCCTCAACCTTGGCCACTTTAAGACTTGTGGACTTCAACTCCCAGAATTCCTCAGCCAGCTTTGCTGGCTGAGGAATTCTGGGAATTGAAGTCCACAAGTCTTAAAGTGGCCAAGGTTGAGGACCCCTGACTTAGACAGAGTCAAATGCAGCTTACTCCTAGATAAATGTTTACAAGACTGAAGCCTTAAACCTTTAGAAAAGTCCACTTTTAGATTGTCTTGATTGAACTATTTTTAGAACTATTAATTTTAATATATTGTTTTTAATATTCTAGTATGCTATTATTTACTGTAATTTTATTCTAATACTCCTTTTCAAATTCCTTTCTGTATAACAAGGATTATTATAAAGCTATATATTGATTAGAATTGCAAAATAATCTGAGACATCTTACCTGGTGACTTGGGATAATGACGGTGTCATCAATCATAGTGCTGTCCCTCAAGTACGAGGTATGGCTCAGTGTACGGGACCTGTCTGAACTGAAGGATCGCAGGCTGGTAGATTGGTATTTGGGCAACATTTTCAGCAGTTGTGATGGTGTGGTGTAGATAGGATTATGAGCAAAGCACAGGAGTGAAAAAAAGCATGCTATTAGCACATAGTGTAACTTCCAGGGGAATTTTTTTAAATATACCCTCCACTATTCCTTGGAGTTTGTCATACTTCTGGAATTTCCATTCGAATGCACATGAACAGAATCACAGTATGTTCAATTGTTTGCTTACAAATACATCATGCATGTTTTGTGACTAATCAGTCCTACATGTTCTTTTTTTCTGATAGAAAAATCCATTATTTGTCTTTTAAAACATGAGGGAATTTTTCTAGAAGAAAAGCAGAAAGGATCCCCTGGAAGGTACATAGAAAATGGCCAGCCAACTGCTGTTACTACAGTGCAAGGTTTTTCTTTTATATGCCAACAGCATTTAAAAGCTTGCAACCACATCCATCTCTCTCATACACAGACAAAACTATAGAAAACCATTTGCTGAAGCAATGAAAGATGCAAAGCAAAAAAAGGTGACATACACACAACTAAAGTCTGAGCCCAATTGCCCTAGGTTTTGTCATTTTGAAAATCAAATTACAAATATATTAAGCCTTCTATGATTTCCATATAATTAAAGAATATACAGTATATTTCAAATACTGATTTTGACATTTCTATCATTGGAGTAATTGCCAGATGATAATTCTCATTTTTTCTAATTGCCTGGAATCATTGCAAACTTAAGGTTTCAAATACTGATAAGCATTAAAATATTAGCTAAGCAACACAATTTACTACTTCATCAGGCTAAACTATACAGATTCTTCAGGGCTATATGCAAAGCAAAATATTGCATAAATGGTAGAAAATACATATAATGCTTCTATTTTAATATTTCTTATACTGCATCAGTTGGCCAACTCTGCAGCCACTAATATGTACGATCATCCTTCTAATTTTGATTAAATGAAACTAGATACAACTGAATTTAATGTGGATTGATTTCAGACAACAGAACACAATTCATGTTCATGAAACCAAGTTTCTTTTTTCTTTCCTCATCTCTCATTCCAGCATATTGCACAGCATATGGGAAACTGCTGCTAACATAAATCACATTTTCCTTATGTAATAAAGCCAGGTAAATAAGTTTAGAATGGCAAGTTTAATAACAATCTGACTATAGCCAATGCAAAGGGTAATTATTATCTTATATTCATCATTTTTTCTCTGAAATATTATTTGTAACAAAAGGATATTAAAGGATATTAAATAGGAATAAATAGTGTGGCTTATTACATCAATGTGGCTAATTCCAGTCAGAAATCATAGTGAGAAAGGATTTTTTTCCTGTCCCATGCTATGTTCTTAATACAGTTAAAGAGTCCCATGATTTTCTGCTATTTTTTAAAATGAAAGATATGAACCATATCCCATTATTGTTCCTAAATCTATAAAAATTTGATGGGCAGTTAAATTGCCTGTGATAACATTCAATTTTAGCCTTTAAATAAGCAAATTCTAAGTAACTGGCCCATTTTTATACTTCTGTAAATACTAGAAGCAGTGACATAAGTGGTTGGCAAAAGATTTGATAGCCCAAATCCATTATTTCTCTGTTAATAATGTATTCCAATAAGTAACAAACATTCATACATAAGGACTTTATAAAACTAAAATTATGAGTTTTGGGGGACAGCATTTAACTAATTCTAGTGTTTGTAAAACAAAGCCCATAGTATTTGTTTAGCACATATTATAATATGGGAAATATAATTAAATACAGGATTCTTAGTACAAAATAGGAATTTTGCCACTACAAAGATAGTAGAAATTTATGATGAATTTGGAGTACAAAAAGCAAGTGCCTTCTTCTGTAATTAATTAAAAATGCACTATTATCATACTTGAGGTGAATTTGATCTGACAGAAAAACCTTCATTCTATTATTTTGTCTGCTTCAAAACTCACTATTACTCTACCAATCTTTCGTCTTTACAACCCATGAATTTTCCAGCTTTGAGGCAGCACAAAATAAGAACATAAATTTACTCCTGCACTGACACAAAGACTTTTTTTTCCTGCAGTCATCAATGTTTTTCCAAAGAACTCATTCCTATTCCACCGTACACAGAGCAAACATGCTTACTCTTTATTCTATTATTTTCTTATCTATTTCTAATACACTTCATTAAGTTAAGAAAAGTAAAAATACCTATATGGGAACAGAAAGTGACCAGAAAGAGAAGTATTATAGTATAGTACCCATCACTCCCCCCCCCCCGTAAGAAGTAATTTGGCTAGTAATAATAAGCATTCACACTGTGGCATTTTCTAAAGTTGATTTTCAATTAGCACTTTTCTAGATTATGGAGTGTGATAAAACTTTGGTTGATCTAATTACTAACTGTTGTCAGAACAGATTTTAGTTGTCCTGTAAATTTCACCAACTCTAAAATGCTTTTCCTCGGCAAGCTTGCAAAATGGAATTGGGGGGGGGGGGAGATAGATGCCATAAGGGAGAAGAGAAAGCATTGCTTCCAGGCCTCATAATACCTACCTGGGCATAGTACTATTGAAAGCATAAAAAGGAAGGAAAACAGAAATAAAAAAACCCCCATGGAACACTTTTAAAGATCCTCTGAGATTCTAGTGAATAAAATGAAACAGTTCTTGAAATGTGGTTCTGTAGGTGGATGGTAAGTATGAAATGTCCTATAGCAGAAACCAAGTGGCTTTGAGAACAAGCTTTGTTATCTGTAATAATGATCCATTTTTAAAGCAAGGTCATTTGTCATGTAGTGGCTACATATCTACTTACTATTAAAACTCCTTGGTCTGTAACCTTCAGTTGCATGAAACAATGCATCATAGAGCAACAATTTTTTAATCAATAAACCTCAAAGGTGCAACTTAAAAAATGCATCTAAAATTTGGGACCTATTACTCCTGTGGGATTGGAATTTGAGGAGGTCTTCAGGCTAAGCTTGGTTGTTTTCTTGCAGATGTTTCATTACCATACTAGGTAACCATCAGTTTTAGTAGAGAGTGGGGCTTGCTCTCATTTTATATTCTAATGGCTCAAGTCATTAGAATATAAAATGAGAGCAAACCTCACTCCCTATTAGCATTGATGATGTTACCTAGTTTGTTAATAAACTGTCTGCAAGAAAACAATTAAGCTCAAAGAATACTAAGGACCCCTCATTTCAATTCTGAGCTACAAATATTATCCTTTAGGATTGAAATTTGGGAAACGTGTAGCTACTTCAGCCATAGTAACATGATCATAATTCTTCATAGTCCTGGCAACTTCCCACAAGAAAAGACAATGGGGAAGCTGGCAGGAAATCAGATGTTACCCCAGCTTCCACTGTTTTGTTTTGTTTTTTTGCCTACCTATTGTCACTTATGTAAGTTTAGGTAAGGAAGTATCTCTGAAACAATGACCCAGTGGGTCATAGATTGTCTAGGATTAATATGAAATTTTGGGGAGCCAATCTTGGTTGAAATTTAAAAGGTGCAACGCCAGTATATCTGGAGGACATGGACTGTCTTGCCTCTTATGTATTCACTGTATATAGGATCCTGTGAAAGTGCTTAGATAAATATATTTGGGCTGTACAAAACATTTGAACAAGACGTTTCACAATATGCAGTAGCATAAAAAATTTAGAATGGTTAAACTAGCTGCATCTTTTGTAAAACTCACAAGGCTGTTTGGTATACTGGTCTTGTCTGTCTCCACACATCTGTGCATGCACAATCACTGTGATTCACTGGGAAGTTGATTCTAACTAATATGCCTAAGTAGTTATTTTTTTTTCTAGAGTTTTCTCCAACCCGGAGCATCTTTTAAAAACCTCTGCAATGATTCGTTTTGATGTAATTTTGTTCCTTGGTGTGAAGGAAGGTTGACAAGATGAAATGTTATTATTCATGTTATTCTCATTTTTTTTACAATACTAGGTAGATGCTATACCTTTTATCAAACAGAACTCATTAGTATTAAATATGTAATTATTATAAATGCTTTTTTGGTTGCACAATCACATCTTCATTTATAAACCTGTTTTTATTTATACAATGAAGTCACTGTTGTACTTTCATTTTTAATAACAAAGGATGGAAATTTATTTTAAAATCCTCTGCTCTGAATATTTCTGATAATTTGCATTGTCTAAATTCTTAAATTAAGGAATCTACTGACACGTAAAGAAGAAAGTAGTCTGTTTTTATACTATGTGATTACAGAGTTCTGAAATTAAAATCCCTAAATCCCTTTGTTTTTTTAAAAAAACCTGTATTTAACAATGTGTTTCTAATGCAAAAGATAAATACATTTTTTGAATCTATAATGCAAGAACTGCATTACTCATTGTGTTCCTTAGATGTTTCTTTTGTTCTATGGTGAAAAATGCTCTTTTATAACCCAATATCTAAAAAGCAGAGCTCTTGGAAACTTATAAAAGAACAAATAGACATTTACAATTGTTACTGCTAACAGTAGTATTTGCTAACAGTTTATTTTTCTCCTTAATAAAGTATGTTTCGGTTAAATCTCTCCTGAATACTTTTTCCTAATGCCTTTTAAGAAATAAAAGAGATCTATTTCATCCCTAGTTGTCATCTGCATTTTGAACAGCTGCTCAGAAAAAAGAATACAGATGCAGTAGGAAAATTCCTGCATTGTTCATAAAGTACCTGTCAGAGCGGCCTCCTTCCAGGCTGTATCTCAGGTAGTTCATGCCATCTAAGAACTGACTGCTAGGTAAGGAATCATCACCTAGTTCCTTCAGATCTTCAGGTCTCAGATATTCTCCCCCATCTCCTGTCATTGTGTCATCACCTTCATTCAATATACAAATTCCCAATATCAGTTAGCAATAGAATTCTTTTAGCATTTGAATGAGACACATATAAAACAGACATGGTTACTGTCACTCTTGAAGCACAGCAAGCACAAAGAATTAATACATCTTAAGGAAACACTAGTCAGTTTCATAGGATTAAATTAATATAAGCTTTCTAAAAATCACATACAATCATTTGTCTTGTGTCAGGGTAAATAGTATTGGCAGAACTAATTTCATGAGTTTTACTTTAGTTGTTCAACTCAGTGGGATTCTGGAAGAATTTTTGAATATGTTCAATATAAGAAAAGAGATGTGTCTCTATAAATCAAAAATGATATAATAATGACTGAAATATGCATATAGTATTATAATGCCATATTTCAATTATTATTTGTCATACCATTTTTTTGTCATCTTGGTGGAACTTCTGCCTTGGCCCATTCTCTGAAAAACTGTTTTTTAGGAAGACATTTGTTGTACAGGAAATGTAAATCTTAACCAGTTAACCAGCAGCTAACAGCTAAAAACAACATAATAAGTGCCACAATAATAATCTCATAATTGGCTTTGTATTATCTGTTTTAATAGTGGTTTTTCAAGATCACAGGCAGTAATCTTTCCCATGACTTGCTATCTAATTATTTAAATTGCAATGCCAGATATTGATCCTGGAATTATGAAGAGCATCATGTGTATAACTGCACTGTGGCTTCTCCCATAGAGAAATAGCCTGAGTTCTGTGAAATATTTTCATAGTTCCTAGCAGTGTAATAGATATATATTGTCTTCCAAGTCCAAGTCCAAAAGCTCGGAATTCAAAACCTCTGGTCCCGGTGACCAAGCCTGCAACATTATCCTGGGATATGTATATTCGCCTTCATTCATCAGATATATGCTACATGCATTTACTGGGAAATTAAAATAGTTTCACTGACAATTCATTAATCTTCCTGGTTTGATGTGATAATCACATTATCTTCTTGCCCATCAAGCAACTGGTGTTAATTAACAGCTAAATAGGACATTATCTTCAAGACAGTGAAGAGATTTCTATATTGGAAACATTACAAAAAGCAATAGCTCTGGTTTTGGGTATTTACTTTCACTCATTTTACAGTGTTGTTCTTCGTATAAATTTTGTAACCATAGTTACTATTCAGCTGAAAGTTCTGAAAAATATTACCCTGCTGCTTTAAAAAGTCATGTTGTCTGGCTAAAGACTCAAAGAATTAAGTAATTGCAGATGAACATCATATCTTGTTAGTCATATATAATTCTGAAAGCACATCAGGAAACTAGGAAATTAAAAGCATGAACATCTGCTTTCACTTCATGATGAAAAGTGAGACTGTCAAAGGACACAGCCTACAAATGTCCATGTGGATCTTTTGAAAAGCAATAAATTTAGGAATTGTCTATATTAAATAAATGCATTGCATATTCTAATATTTTGCATGTGATAACTCTAGAATTTTTAGAAAGCTATTTTACTGAAAATCTCAATAATATGATTAGTTACCTGCTTTAATGCCAAATCTATCAAATTAAGAGTCTCCAGGAGCTACACAATCCTAATACTACATTAAATTCCTCCCATTTTTTTGCCCTTTCGACTTTCTAACACAGTGTTTGGGTAATCTTTTCAGCAGAGGCCTCAGCATGAACATCAAAAAACATGGTGGACGTGATCATAGGATCAAAACTCTACATCTTTTTTATATGCATGAGTAGGACCGTATTGGTTGGAAACATGTGGAAGAGGCCTTCATCCTGCAGTGGATAGACAATGGCTAAAATGATGATGATATGATATGATATACGTCAAAATAGTAACGTTTCATTTTCACAACTGCCATAATGAGGGCTTTTTTTATCCCTTCCCTTTCTTTGGGATGCTTTATTTCTAAGATCTGAAGTCTGTATGCTGTGCTCAGTGATGGATAGAAGACATGGAGAGAGTTGATGAAAACATCCATATTCCAATAGTCTCTTACAAATCATTATTGTTAGAAGGGTGGAAGAGACCTTATCAAATACAGCTAATTTAACGTTTCCTACTGCACGGGAATATATGCATGCATTGCACATATATCTAATATATGTATATATCTACCCTGCAAATGAATATATTGCATAGGAATAGAGAATAACATTGCTGCTTAGGAACCACAGTTTTTTCTTCTTCCCTTCATGCTTCCTTCCACAGCTATTTCTGCTGATGTTTAAAACTGGTTGTTCAGATAGCTCAAGCCTTGAGAGTATATACAGCCACTCTGAGTGATTCTACGATCAATCATAGAAACCTCTCAGTGGACCTGCTAACAGAGAAAGTATCAGAATTGAGCAGCTGTATGCCAGTCTTTTGGAGAATGCCTTATTATGTGATTGCCTCACTGCAGCTATTATAGTAGCTGTTAACTAACTCATATGCTCTGCGTGATTCTGATAGAAGCCACATTTTAGAGGAAGAAGAAATAAAAATAGATATGGACAGCAACTGCAATGAGGAAAGCAAATCAAGGCTTCTATAGAAAATTCCAAACAGAACCTGCACATCTGATCTCTTTGTCTAAGTTGCTACCTTGCAACAATAGAAACAAAGTGAAAACAAATCTAAAACAATTATAAATTACCTTTGATAATATTTATTTTGGCTTTTCAAATCATACATTATGCACCTAAGTATCTATAAGTAGTCTGATTTAGCAAGCACAATTGGGATAAACAACTTTGTCAGTAAGCGAAGCAGATACTAAGTGAAACTGCAACTTGGCTGATGATATTATTTCAGCTTTCCCTTTCTTTACAGACTGTGAATGTCATAAATACAGGGATTGGGCACAAAGTTACTTTTTCATCACTGTTGTAACAGCAAAGTCACTAAATGAGGCCGTTGCTAAGCAAGGACTACTTGTAGTCTATCACCAGGTACAATGTTTCTAATGAAAACACAGGAATTCAAGGACTAAAGGAACAATATTTCTTTTTGGAAAATATTTCTTTTAAGAATATATAATATTTCTGCTTTTATAAAAAAAAAAGTGGTAGTCAAATTCTTTTAATTATTTGAGTTCAGATATATAATGACCAGGGAGCAACCGCCAAAGATTATCAGTCAAAATCAAAAGCCTATTATTTTATTTTATAAAATAGTTGGTTCAGTTAAATACTCTTCAACACATTATGTGTGGTGTACATGGTTCCACCTCATGTTACATGATAAAGTCTTTGACTTCTATTCATCTCAATACAATTGGGACACATTGTATAATTAAGCACTGATAAAGTAGGATTTGCAATCACTAACATTTTATACTCATATTCAAGCAATCAGGACTAGGAACTCACTGCAGATGCCCTTGCTCAATAATGTGCAGCCAGAGAAATTATGGACACTATTGGTAGATACTACTCTCTCTGTTCCTTACTTGTAGCAGCATTCTGTATTTGTAATGACATCTTATAGCAGGGGTGTCAAACTGCCGGCCCATGGGCCGGTTGTATCATATAGAGCAGTGATGGCGAACCTTTTAGAGACCGAGTGCCCAAACTGCAAACCAAACCCCACTTATTTATCGTTGGGTGCCAGATGGGCGTGGCCCACTGGGTGGGTGTGGCCTACTGGGTTGGCGTGGTTGGCGTGGCCTACTGGGTGGGCGTGGTCAGCTCACCGTCACTCACGTAAGGGGCACTTGTGCGGGTCTGGGCAGGACTGGGCCAGATCTGAGAGTCTCCGGCGGAGGGGTGGGTGGGACCGGGGCAAGCACCGGGGCATGGTCCATTGGAGGAGCCTCACTGAGCCTCAGGCAATGCAGGGGGCCCATGGACAGTGGCACGGACTGCCTGGAGCCCTGGGCAGCGGAGGTCAAGCACCCAGCCTGGTCCTTGAGCTCCCATGGCACCAGGACCCCACAGTCCTGCCTACCCTAGCCGCATTTCCCTGAGGGGGTGCCCAGCTGCATGGTGAGTGCAGAAGGGCAAATTGCATGGGTCAGAGGGAAGCCCATTCCCTCTCCATGTGAGGAGACCTGGCTTTGTAACCAAAGCATTCTCAGCAATAGGATGGGAAACCACCAGGGGATGGCAAATGGGCCACAGGGCTGCTGGTGGCCAAGTGCTAAGGCAGGATTTTCCTCAGGCCCTCCCTCTCATTCCAATTTCCCTCCCTCCCTCTCCCCTCTTTCCTTCCTTTCTCCCTCCCTCCCTCTTCCCTGCTTCCCTCCTTTTCATTCCCATCTCCTTCCTTTCTCTCTCCCTCCCTCCTTCCTCTATCTCTCTTTCTCCCCCTTTCTCCAAAGTCCAAACACGTGTGTGCTACTTTCCTCGCTCACCCTGTTCACGCTGTGCATGCCCACAGAAAAGGCTCTGTGATAGAGGATTAAACAGCTGGGTGATTTTGGGCCAGTCATTCTCTCTCAGTCCAATCCACCTCCCAGGTGTGTTGTGAGGAAAATAGGAGGAGAAAGGTATGTTGGATATGTTCATTGCCTTGAGCTATTTATAAAAATAGTATAGGCCAGATATAAATAAAAATAAAATTAATTCATTAAATAAATACTGGATTTCAGGACCTGTTCTGATTTTCTAGACATGTAGGGAAACCAATCCAAAGTAAGCAGCAGGTTGCCTAGAAGACTCCACTTTGCAAAAGATGAGAGAGAGGGGGGGGTTCATTCTGTGTTTCACAGCCTCATGGGTTTAATGAGATTTATTCCTAGATATAGATTGCAGGACTGGTGTCTTAAAAATAGCTGTTCTCTCAGTGCACAGATTTGAAATGTTGGGTAGCGTTGGATAGATTGGATTTTTCCTTGTTGCAAAGGATGGCTTCAAGAGGGGATGATGCAAGGAGCCCAATAATCTTCCTTTCTTTCTCTTTTTTTGAAAGCAGAGCCAGCCTTTTATATTAAGGCTCTGCTCGCCTTCCCAAACTCCAAACTCATGCATCCTACTTTCCTCGCTCACCTTCCCAAACTGCAAACTGGAGTAGGACGAGGAAAATAGGACGTGCGCGCAAGTTTGGAGTTTGGGAAGGCGAGCTAGGAAAGTAGGACGCGCGAATTTGGAGTTTGGGAAGACGAGCGTAGGACACGCGCCTTCCCAAACTCCAAACATGATATTAAAGGGGGTTTGGGAAGAAATGATTAATAAGTGTGTGTGTGTGTGTGTGAGAAAGAGAGAGACAGAGAGATCCCCTTTCTGTAAGTTTGCTTATTCTGGAATGCTTTCCTTTCCCGACACTTTTGCTTCCCTGCTGGCTCAATCTTTCTTTCTCTCTGCTGCTTCTGCCGCCCAGATCTAGGGCTGCAGAGCGATTTTGCTCCCTCCCCCCACGGCCGATCTGGGCAGCAGAAGTTTTTCAAAGTCTCTGAAACTCACATATCCATGGCCATGGAGTGATTTTATGGCACTTCAGCAGCTCGATGCGGGCGCCGGAGGCTTGGAAAATGCAGCGGGGGGAGAACGCAGCAGTGCAATCTGCACGGTGGGTGGGGGGGAAATGGTGGCGATCCAAGCAATAAAAGCTTTTTCCACCATCCAGCCTGGGCTCTCAATGCAGAGAGAAAGAGAGCCGAGAGCGCAGGCGCACATGGAGAGGCGGAAGGGAGCAGTCTGACCCCGCCTCCCTCCAGGGTGATGGCATGCGTGCCCACAGGGATGTCTCTGCGTGCCGCCTGTGGCACGCGTGCCATAGGTTCGCCACCACTGATATAGAGACTGCGGCCACCCCAGCTCCAGCAATGCAAAAAAAGTCGTGATGCATCGCAACACATCACGTGATACGGAGAGTTTGACACCCGTGCCTTATAGGGTTTAAGAATGCATAACATGTTTACAATAAATAAAAAGATAAATGTTTTTGCTATGTATGAACAGATGCTCAATCGTTAAATCCACCAAGTAATTGAATTATGTTGATGCAAATTATACATAGAAAGCTGTGTTTTGCATATTATATAGTAGCGTATGTGCTACGTATTGCAGAATAGTGTAAAGCAGGGGTGTCAAACTGGTGGCTCATGGGCCAGATGTATCATGTGCAGGCCACGCCCACCCCAGCTCTGCAAAGACAAAAAACGCCGCGATACGTCATGTGACGCAATCAAGTTTGACACCGTGGTGAAAAGCATAGCAAATAAGGTGACTTGTAACATTCCTACTTCGAATATGACATCATTTATTAAGTCACCTTTCTTCTCAGTGACAGTGTTATTCTCAAAACTTCATTCTTCTATATCAGGCATGTCAAACTCATGACGTCACATGATGTCGCGCGACATATCGGGACTTTTTCTCCATTGCCGGCAATGGGGGTGGACACGGTTTCAGTGTGACACATCCGGCCCGCGGGCTGGCAGTTTGACATGCCTGTTCTATATTAATCAAATTAATAATACTAAACTGCTTAAAATCCTGATATGTAAAAAAATGTTGTGGTGTCTCATTTTGTTTTAAATTAGTGACATGAAATTATAGGAATATTACACTTCTACTTAACATTGTAAGATAGGCACATTCCCAAGACAATAATCAAATTCATATTAGTAATGTTTTAAACTATTTTCCTCCATTTGGAGAACAGAGGGTGGGACAAACTGCAAACATGCACAGATGCACAATCAAATTTAATGCCTAATCAGTGTTAGGTGGTCAGATGTATTTTTAAACAAGGAAATCATTTAAGCTAGATTAAAAATATTTTCTTTGTACTCCAACAGTTGTTTCCACAGTACCTGCATCACTAAAGGCTTCCTCGTCAGTGGAATGGTCATAATCAGAATGTTTTAAAGCTGCATAATACATACATTAATTTTAGGGGAAAATTGTTTACAAAGGAACATATAAGGATCAATTATACCAAAGTTGTATTTATAGATAATCCTCATTTAGTGACTACAATTGCTTCCAGCGACTCAGTCATTAAGCAAAGCAATTGTTAAATGAATTACTTGTCCACACTACACTTATGACTTTACTTCAGCAATCAAAAGCCTTCAGTGTGAAATTGTCAGATCTTGTCAGTTTTAGGCAGCAGCTGCAAGGAGAAGTTTCTAAACAACTAATTAAGGTCACTGAAGTGAGTTCGTTACTTGCAGTTAGCACATTTAGGGATGTGCCGCACTGCTGAGAAAAGCAGCTCAGGAACAGGATAGTGCAACACATCAGGGATAGGACAACACTGTGATACAATACTGACTGTAACGGTGAACACGTGACTGAAAAACAGATGCTGTGAAGGTCTTAAATGCAGGCATTGGTCATAAAGTTACATTTGCATTACTGTCATAATTGCAAACAGTTGTGTTTGAGACAGTCACTAAATGAGGAAGACCTGTGATATGTTTCATTTAAAAATCATGCCATACATAAGCTACATGCTCCATTTGGAGAACACATTAAGGAACAACAATGTGTGTATGCTTGCAGGTAGGTAGGTGGTTTACACCAAAGAAAATGGCATTGGGATAGTTGATTTCCCCATAATTGATAATTGCTAGTCCAACTTAATCAGTATTGTCTTCATTTCCCAATTTTACATGCCCAGCCTATTCAAATCACAAATATTTTACTTTATCAGAAACATGTCTATAGCTGAATATACATTTTAGTAAGCTTAGTACATTTTTCAATTTATATTTCTATTTTCAGTAAGATATAACTACTTTAACTTTTCTATAACTTTAGCAACTAACCATGATGAAAGCAATATGTTTTATAAATATATACACTAACAAGTGGTTTATAATGAACTCACCTTCCTCATCAGAAACATCCAAAATTTCAGTCATAGTCTCAGGTACATTGAGCTTGTGCTTCTCTGTGACAGTCTGTAATAAGACAAAAAAAAAGAGATCATTTCTTTCTCTGTGTGTCTGTCTGCATGATTACAGAAAGGAAGATTGTATTTAAATTCCATACTCTCTCTCTCTCTCTCTCTCTCTCTCTCTGCAAAAGTATTAATTGATGAGATACCTGATTTTCAGATACTCAACTGCCTAAGCATAAAGCCACACCAAAAAGACATTCAAGTTGGCAGTAAATTTGTTTAAATATGACATTTTCCTGTCAACAGTAAATTCTTTTCCTAAACAGCAACTTTTTGGACACCATCTTAAGAATTGCTTGAAACTGCTTTATTTTTCAAAAAAAAAGTTATAAAGCAAGATATTTTTATAAAAAAATGTTTCACTCCCACCATTTGAATACCTATTCCCTAAGATAATTTTAAACACCATGTTAAAGATATTTGTGAACCTTAATAGTCTGTTCTACTTAAAATTGTTCCTCCTTTACATTTTTCTGCTTCTCTATAAATATCAACAGTCATGTTACTGCCAAGCACATGAATCTTGTTTGCATCCAGTGCTTTTTTTCTTAAAAAAAAAAAGGTGCTGGAACTCACATACATCATACAACCCGCCTTGCCTACCCTACAAGGTTCCATCCAAAAAAGGTGCCGGAACTCCGTTCTGGGCGTTCTATGAGAAAAAAAGCCCTGTCTGCATCTACTGTTAAAAGGACTAAAAGGTTAATTTTGGGAAATATTTGTAAATAGTAGGCTTCAGTGTGCTCCACTGTATAAGCTTGACAGGTAGAGAACCAAATAATTTCAATATTTTAAAATACTAACAATTATAAGATGAAGAACATTCCTGCTTTCAACCCATACTAACAACAAATATAATGTGGAAAATGGCAGTCAAAACTTTAAGAGGGATATAGAATTGCCTCTTAATTAATAAATAAAATATTCAAAGTAAGCAATGAATGAAACACCTAGGAAATAGATTTAAAGTATGATTTAACTGGATCTGTATTGCCTTCCTAGTTACAAAATATTTATTCACTTCTTTTTTACAATGTGAAAATCTTTCAATAATCAGAGATACAGAAACTGCAGATTCCTATATTGACTGGCCATAGGATCCTTCTTCTAAATATTAGAAAGAACAGATAATGAAAGGTGACCCAAATAACTAAATTTGAAATGCAATGCACAACTGACAGGAAATTTAACTGGAAATGTTTGGAAATCTGCAGAAAAGGCATAAATTCAAACAACACTCTGGGGTATGTTTAATTACATTTATGAATATGCTTAATACTTCTCCATATGGATATGCCCATAAGTATTAAATTACACTGGACATAATTAATTTATCATTTTTAAAAAAGACCTCAAATAAGTAAAACCAGAATAAAATAATGGAAAAACGTCTGCTGTACTCACAGTTGTAGTGGTGATTACTTCCTCTGTTACCACCTTTAATGTATCTACCACTGAGATGTATCCCAGACGCTTAGCAATCGCTAAGGCAGTATTGCCATTCTGAAAGAAGAGAGAAGGAAAAGTAATACTGTGATATGAACCAATGAGATCACGCCCAGAACTAAATGAACCAACACTTCCATCCAAAATAAGTCATTCGCTATGGAAAAACCCTTTGCAACTTTGCTCAGACTATAGCAGCAATTGCCATGGTAACATAAACTCAGAACATCTGTCTGTTATACTGTATTTTTTTAAAAAATGCACACTTTTAATAATTTAACCCACAGCTTTCTGTATCGTATTAGATTTTTTTAATTTGCTACATGTGTTCCTGTATAATTTTGACAATGCTTTTATTTGGCAGTGATTTTGATAATGGTATTAATATATCCCAGATACAGCAGGAATTTAAGAAGTTCCAACTCAGAAATATTAGATCAAATTTTGACATGGTGCAGCTGATACACACCCAGAAAAATAAAAATAAAATAAAAAAAATCAGTATACTTTAAACATGTTTATATACATTCTTTCATTTAAAAAAAGGAATACACAATATTCAGATTCTAAAGTGGGTTTTTAACTTTAGGAAAAAGAAGAACTAACTTGGATTTAATTGCCAATGTAATAAGTTAATATAGAAGTGATAACTATTGTTCCTAGCTATATTGTTTCAGTATCACAATATTATATAATCAATCAGAATTCCTGTAAGTAATTCTCTTGGAATTCAACATTGTAAAAGTATAGATATATTTCATCAACATTTATAGAATGATCAGGTAAAAGAAACCAATCAGATCTGGTTCCGTTGCAGTGACAAAAATATGTCTATGTGATAACGTTATTTTTTCATTATTACCATTGCATTATGTTATGTTTTTCAGCAGCCTCATGTTTAATCATAAGAATATATGTGCAATGATATCCATTCTATAGTTTAAAGACTTCATGAATACAATACATACCATTTTTCTTATTAAATTATTAATTATAGTTTCTTTTTAGTTGACTTGTGCATCTTACTACAGATTCTCCAAGTAGTTACATCCATTCATCTGCTCCCACCTGACTAAACCAATTTACTTTCTAAGACATTTTGGAGCTCAAAACTTAAAACAAATCATTGCAACTATATCATTAAGTACCCTACAACCTTACCGCAGTGACTGCATTTGGTTTGGCCCCATGTTGAAGAAGAACATTGATGATGTGAGTATGGCCTTGCTGAGCAGCTTGGTGCAGAGGAGTGTATCCATTCTGAAATTAGTGGTAGTTAGCACGTTTAAAAATATAAGGAGACAAAAATCCTATAGTAGATTTATTTTAATATTCTTCTGATTTCACAAAAGTATTAATCACAGTTATGTCAACTGTTTTCATCAGGCAGCAAACATCAATAACCAATCTTAAAGATTTTTCATAAAGCATTAAGGATAGAAGGTAGGCTAACACCTATCAAATCCCTATTAATTTTTAGAAATTAAGGTTAAAAAAGAAAATAAGATAAAAAAACACATTAGATTCCCATTAAATATGATTGTGTTAGTGTTCTGTAGAATTATAAACTATAACCCTTCTATTTGGGTCTACGTAACTGTCCCTTCAAGTTGCTGATGTTTTATTTGGAGTGGGGGAGGGGAAATAGGAAAACTAAAGTAAGCATTTATATGTTTTGCTCCGTATTACACATATTCTGCATACCTACACCCTGCAATTCTTACAGCATTTTAGTCTTAAGCCTGCCATCAATATCCCTGTTAAATTCTCACTATAGTAACATCATTGAATTTATTCTAAATAGTGAATATTTATTCTAATATTGAAGAAGATTCAAATGAGCAAATGGGGAAGTGGAAAAGATAATTTGGTGGCAGCACATGCTTTGGAGCAAATTAAACTAAAAAAACATTTTTTAATTCTAGTTTTCTTATGCATATAGCCAAGTATTCCCTCCTGGATTGTTTCTCAACTCAAGAAGCAACCAGGTTTACATAATACAGAGATAAAATAATATTAACCATAAATAACAAGAAAGTGAAATTTTGTGATTTTTGTGATTCCTGTACATTTTAAATTTAAATTATGTAAAACTAATTAAATTATATCTATATATATTTATCTACAGTATATTTTTTACAATCATACAGTTGTTTTCCCAATTTTTTCTTGTAAATCTTTTCAAGGAAGCTTATTTTTTAAGGGTTCAGCACATAACACTGGTATGGAAAATTCAGAAATAAACACATATTTCCATAGAAGCAGCTCTGCCAATGCCACAGTCCAGCATTTTATTTCTCACAATGATAACCCTGAGGTACTTACAAACACAATATGGAGGCAAACACCTTTCCTATTGTTATTCTCCTATATCTGATATTTGAAAGCATGGTATTCCCAACCTAGAAGTAAACCTCGGTTAAGAACGATACTCTTCAAATCGTATAAATGGGTTTATACTATCTCCTTTTAAGCCATTACTAATACTTTATAGTAATCAATTTCACAAATTAGTTATGCACTACGTTAGGGATCCTCAACTCCCAGGGTGGATACTGGCCCCCGACACCTTGGGAAACAGGCAGTATAAGTAATGGGCAAGCATGCAAAGCTCCATTTGTGCAAGCTGGTCTGCTGAGCCAGAAAGGTTGGGGATTGCCTGTACTATGTGAAAAGGCCTTTTTTGTCCATTTCAAATCTCCTTCAAATCAACGTTTTAGATGGCTCCTGGTCCTGGTTTTTAGAGAAGGAGAAAATATTTTCTATACCCACTTTCTCTATACATTCAGACTTTTATACACCTCAGTCACATTATCCCACTTTTCTTTTTCCAAACTCAAAACATTCTAACCCTTTCTCATACAGAAGATGTTCAAGGCCTCTGATCATTTTGGCTGGTCTTTTTAGCACTTTTTCCAGGTATGTTATAATCTTTTTCAAGTGTAGCAGCCAGATCTGTACCTAGTACTTCACAGCCAGACATACTATATACATTTGTATAATGGTATTATGTTTGAATTTTTATTTTTAGTTCCTTTTCTAGGGATCCCTGTATAAAATACACATTTTTCACAGTGCTCTTTACTTTGTTATGCACTACGATGCTTGGATCTTTTTTGTCATTCATATGTATTATCCGAGGAATTATCTCACTCGTGTTGCTCCATCTGCACTGACATAAGAAGCATGCTGTGGACCCCATCAATCAAGGAATTTCAACTGGCAGGTTCCAGGAGAAGAGCCTTTTCTGTCATGGCTCCTCTGGAACATTGTGCCCCCAAGGTGAGATCCTTCTGAAAGAACCTGAAGACCTGGCTCTGACAATTGGCCTGGAGCCCTAATGGGAGCATGTCATACTTGAGGTGGTTAATGGACTGAGATAAGACCTCACCTTCTCCTGTGTGCACCTTGCTCTCTTCCTTGACATACTTTTTAATTTTTAAGTCAATTTATTAATATTTATTATTTTAACGTTTTATCTGACTAGAATCACCGTGAGGTGAGGGCAGCATATAAGCTTAATTAATAAATAAATATGAAAGTAGACTTTACAGCATGCACTACCACTTTACACTTATTAATTTAAAATAAGTATAACACTGTACCATTTGGTTTATCATTCATAACACTTTTAATTTTAACTGAATATTTTTAGAATAGCTTTCCTCAGACTGATGCCAAAGGAATGCATTAGCACTGTCATTTACAGAAGTCCAAAATTTCAGAATTCCACGGCCACACTGATAATTATTGGCTATGCATTATTATCTGTACATAATCCAATATATTATTAATGTTGCATTATTCACAGACTACTGCACTGAAAAATTGACTCTTCTTTCAAATATTGCAAATTTCTTGCAAAGATATTGAAAATTTCTTAAATACAAATTAACATCAATGTGCTTGTTTGTAATTGAAAATGGAAGGAAACAATTAACAAACATTTACCTTTGTCTTAGCATTGACATTAGCTCCTTGCTTCAGAAGGAAGTTCACCATCTTGATGTTTCCATAGTGACAAGCCACAATTAGTGGAGTGTAACCCAGCTAAATGAAAAGGACCCCCCCAAAAGAGTAAGTAGAGAATGTGATAAGGCATTGGAAAGTTATTTTATTGTCTTGGAAGTTACTGTTTGTTATACCTTAGTCTGGGCATCTTTGTTTGTTCCATGCTTTATCAGCATATCAGCTACATTTACTTTATCTTCTTGAGCTGCTAAATGTAGAGATGTCAATCCGCTCTGAAAATTAACAACATATGTATTTTAGTGATACAAATTAATAGAAGAAATTTATTTTACATTATAATAATTAAAGTATCTTGACATTGTTAGAACTCTCCAGGCTGTCAATTCATTCACAGTGTCTTTCCAATTCTTGTTATATATTGAAGAACACAAAGGTTGTAAATATGAACAAGACAAGAGAGGGAGGGAGGAAATAAAATTTGGTATTATAAAAGAATTCAACACCATGGCCAGTGGCCTCATACACATGCTGGAGAAGAAAGGCAGAAAAAAATGAAATATTCTACAAGCAAAAAAAAATATCATTAAATTTGGGGTGAAATTTTGCCATATCTCAACTTCAACATGATGGAAACCTCAAAATGATCTAACATATTTAACTGCAATTTCCAATTAACACTTAAGCAGAGATCAGAGCCATTAGAAACCTCTGTGGATATATTATCTACTGTTTATATTATCTACTTTTATCTACTATTATCTACTTTTATCTACTATTATATTATCTACTTTTATCTACTATTTTTAATATTTAATATTAGCCACATATATTCTTACACATTTTCCTGTTTTTAATTCTTTAATAAATTAATATTTTGTATTGATTTGTTGAACACATCATTTTCTAGATCACACTTCAAAAATTCATTCATAATAGAAGGGGGGCATTACCTTTGTGGCCACATGAATATTAGCTCCCTTCTCCAAAAGTAAGTTCACCATATCAGCATGACCTTCTTGAGAGGCCAAGTGAAGTGGAGTCACTCCTTGTTTGGTCAAAATATTGGTCTCTGCTCCATAGTTCAGTAGAGTTGTGGCTATCTGCATCTGATTCTTCTTAGCAGCAATGTGTAGAGGAGTATACCCATTCTAAAACCAGTTGCCTTGTATTAATACAGGTTTTAATTTTATTTTCTTTTATAATAAAATATCAATAAATTGCCTCTTTAGAGAATAGCCATTATTTTCTGTAGCTTTCACGTAAAGAATAATACTAGTCGTAGTTTCTTGCATGAAATCACAGTTGCAATCCAGGTAAAGCGTATATTGGCACTGATATTTCAAATGTCCAATCTTAATTATAGAACACATAACCTTTATTGAGAATAGTTAAAGGCTTTCCTTTAAATGTATTATTCTTGATTAGAATTCATATAACTTTTTTAGAATCAAAGGTGAAAATAAAGCCTTCTTTAAGAACATATGTATGGACATATCCAGTGCTTTTTTTCTAAAAAAAAAAAAAAAAAAAAGGTGCTGGAACTCACACACATCATACAACCCGCCTTGCCTACCCTACAAGGTTCCATCCAAAAAAGGTGCCAGAACTCCGTTCTGGGCGTTCTATGAGAAAAAAAGCCCTGGACATATCCATACATTTTCTAGCAATAATATAGTCGTAGTTTGCCATTGCTTTTTTTCACTTCTCTAGCTAGCCTACTGTCGTAGTATTTCTTCATATTCTTCTGTGCTGTTATTAACCAAGCCTTCTGTGATCAGACAAGATCAGCTTAATGGAAACAATACTCCAAATACATCTCTAACAATCATTCATACTTGCCTTCCTTAAATGGATTCCTTCCAGACATATTGGATATGCATGCAACAGCTAGGGTGAAAGATAGTTATGATCCTACTAGTCTGGACGGTTCTAGTTTGTTTATTTTAGAAGTGTTTTTCAAACTTCCCCAACATACAAACTTCGGCAGACAACATATCTTGCGCACAGTCACCCATGCCCTTGTCACCTCCCGCCTGGACTACTGCAATGCTCTCTACATGGGNCTAAGGGGTAATTTTTAGCTGGGTTTTAAAATAATTTTTAAAATAACAAAGGCCAAATTAATATTTCCTTTTAATTATGTTTTTAATGATGGTATTTTTTGTATTTTTGTATCTGTTTTTATTAGGCTGTTAGCCGCCCTGAGTCCGCAAGGAGAAGGGCGGGGTAAAAATACAATAAATAATAATAATAATAATAATATCTTAAAGTTGCCAAGTTTGAAAAACGCTGTTTTAGAACAACCACAACAAATTTACAGTAGACAGTAAATCTCACCTTGGCAGTAGAATGAGGAGAAGACCCTTTCTCCAGTAATAGCAGTGCCACTTTCTGATTGTCATAGTGAGCAGCAACATGGAGGGGAGTGAGACCATTCTGGAAAGGGTGGTTTATGTTAAGGCATTAAGTGGTGGTTAGCTTTTTTTAAACTAGCATTAATTACAAAACAACAACATAGATTAAATAAGCAATTGATCAGAAAAAAATACAGCATTTTTAATTCAAAGTGAATTATTTCATATTAGACATGTTATTTAAATCAATAACAATAATATTAAGAATACTATTAAATCAATATTAGATAAAAGAATAGTGCTTTTTTAAAAAAAAGAACAAGCCATTTCAAATTCATTAAATTTGCTGAATTGATATATTGTGTAGCAGAGCACAAAATAGTTTGGATTTAAAATGTTTCAAGCTTGAAATACCCTATTTTGAGTTCATACCGTGTGTTTTGTCCTTATTGAAAGCTTTCTGACACTCTTCCAACCACCATAAAAGTATCCTCTGCTTAAATCAGACCTGTTTTCAGCTCAGAGCACTTGCAGTGAGGACAGTTAGAAAAAAAGACTTTTCTAGAGTGGTCAGAATATTATCAGAAGATATCCTTCATTATGATTAGGACAGCAGTTTCAAACTCAAAATATTTTATACAACCTTAGTATATTCCAACCCTAACCATTTACTTTCACTAACAAATTGCAATCTTCAAATATTTCACAGCAAAGAGTAAAATAAAGCACTTCCATTTTATCTATGGGATTTCTGGCAATCCTGGAAAAAAGCCATCTCATTGAAATATTTTATTATTATTATTATTATTATTTACAAATATACTCGTTGTAACATTACATGCGCATGTACTTATAGAAAATAAAGAAAAGTGGGATCCGCTCCCTTAATCCCTCATTGTACAATAATTGCAGAAGCTAGTCATTTGTCAGGGAAATGCTTCATTTCCAAGCAGTTGCATTGTTGCTGAAAGAATTACCAAAAAGTTGCAGGTGAGGTCAAACTGGGAAGCAGAAGCAGTGTGAGGGAGGAAATTGTACGCTCTCACAGAGTGGGTCTCCTCAGGGTACCGTCGGCCAGGCAGTGCCGGCTGGCGACCCCAAGGGGGAGGGCCTTCTCTGTGGGAGCTCCCACCCTCTGGAACGAACTGCCCCCAGAGATCAGGGTGATCCCTGATCTCCCTTCCTTCCGCCGCGCCCTCAAGACGTGGTTGTTCCAGCAAGCGGGACTGGCC